AAGGTTTTCATATGTGATCTTTACTCACAGCATCGCTGTCGCTATGGCTGTTTCTAATTCCTCTCACCCTTCTGAGTACAACAGATTTCTTTCCACAGGAAAACTAACTTCTCCCTGTGTGTCCCGGATGCCATTGCCTTTTCTCTCAGCAGAGTCATCCCCTCCCTCAAAACCTCTGAATACCTCAGTCCCCAAACTCCCCCTCCTGCCTCTCAGTCTCTGAGCATCATTAGTCTCTGAGCCCCCCACGTCTAGAGGTTCTCCCTCCCTGCGAAGTGTGGCGTTGCCCCTTCTGGGTCTTCTCCCATTTCTCTGACTATTCTCCTCCCGTTTCCTCCTATTGATTGTGGACTCAGCTCTTCTCTCGCCCCACACTGTCCTCACTCGCTCATCCATTCAGTCATTCGAGATTTACAGGGGACCTGCTCTCTGCCTGGTTCCCATCCAGCTACAGGAGCACAGCCGTGAGCAGGACACACAAGGCCGCTTCACAGAGCTTTCCTCTGATGGCACAGACAGACAATACGCAAGTACATACATTGTAGGTAAAATATTTGGGAGACTAAGAGAAAATATGAGGAACAAGAAATAGGGTAATGAGAGGGAGTAGCTGCAGGTGGGCTAAGGGGGAGGGTTAGGGCTTGGAAAGAGGCCCCAGGGAGGGCCGCTCTCAGGAGAAGTCATTTAACACCGGGCCTGAATACGACAGACCAGCCACAGCATGAAGAGGAGTCTGGGCAGGGCGATATTTGGCACAAAAGCTCTCTAATGCGGAAAAACACTTGGCCATCGCGAGGCGCATTTTAAAGAATTAAGCATGACTGGAACACTGGGGACCAGGCGGGATGGCAGGCTCGCAGGGCAGAGCGGGCCCGGGCTGCGGGGAGGCCTCGGCGGGCTGTGGCAAGGAGTCCGCGTTTGGCTTGGGTGCTACGAGGTGCCAAGAGAGGGCTTGAGGCGAGAAAGACACACGATTCCATGGGACACAGAGCATTCTGGCTGCGGTGAGGACTAAAATAGATGGTTTTGCCCATCGACAGCAAGGAGAAGATGAACGTCAAGCTGAAAAAAGTAAAAATAAAACAAAACAAAAACAGCGGCAAGGACTAAAGGCAAAATGACAGAAATAGAAAAGGAATAATAAAGAATTTAAATGGGTTAACAACTCTCAGAACAAGGCCAAATCCACTTCAAAGGCCTTAAGGTATTTGCAAAAGTGACAGAGAGCCACCGCCCAAACTCCGGGGAACCGCCAGAGCACTGAAAAGGCCAATGAGCCTGTGTTCAATAGATGAGAGGCAGCTTCATGGTTCCTAAAACCCCCTGTGAAATCCTCACGATGACTATTTAAATTGGGGTTGGTAAACATTTATAAAAGAACACTTACGCACACGTAGAAGCGAGAAGCGATGTTGTGAACCAAGCCGACTGTGGCTGTATCGGTGGCTGCGGTGGCGGCTGTGGAAGTGGAGGGTGACGGGCTTATCAGACAGAAAGTCTTGGTGACTCTGTGTGTTTGGACGAGCCTTGGAATAAAACCGTGGAATCTCAGAGATGACTGGAACTTTATCAATAATCTATTTCACACTTATAACCTATAGAAGAGTTTCTATTTCTACTATTCCAGTAATTGTCTGGGTAACAACTGCTTGAACATAACAAAAGGTAATTCTCTTCACTTTGGAATCTTTTAAAACATATTGCCAAAAATCTATTTGTACGTAAAGGTAAACCACTGATCCTACCTCTTTTCTCTGGATCATTATAAGACTAATTCTGCCCTGGCGGGTGTGGCTCAGTGGACTGAGTGCCGTCCTGTGAGCCAAAGGGTCACCGATTCGATGCCCAGTCAGGACCTGGGTTGCCTGGGTTGCGGACCCGTCCTCAGCAGTGGGTGTGTGAGAGGCAACCACACATTGATGTTTCTCTCCTTCCTTTCCCCTCTCTCTAAAAACAAATAAAATCTAAAAAATAAAGGACTAGTTCCTGTCACATATACTCTTTGAAATTTCCTGAATGTGTCATGCTATAAACATGGACATAGGGAGATACATCGGCTTGTTATTGGAGATTGGACAGCCATACCAGAGAAGCCTAATTCACAGCTCATTGTCAGGCTGAAGTGCGGTCTCTAAAATCATGCCAAAGGCCTCTTCCTTCTGGTTCTCCCTATTTTTTAACATCTATGTTTGGATCCTGTGATTGTCAAACCTAGAGGCGAAACAAAGCTGAATATATGTTAGATGACTTCATCTAGCTTTCATCAAAGCATTAACAGAATGTGATAATTGGTTGAAACTAATACATTTTTCGTCCTCACCTGAGGATGTATTTATTGATTTTAGAGAAAGAGGAAGGGAGGGAGAGAGAGAGAGAGAGGGAGAAACATCAGCTGGTTGCCCCCCATACACGCCCCAACCGGGCAGGGAGCACACAGCCTAGGCACGGGCCCTGACCAGGAACTGAACCCACAGCCTTTCAGTGCGCAGGACGGCGTTCCAACCAGCTGAGCCACCTGGCCAGGGCAAAACTAATACATTTTAACAGGAGTGAATACAGGGTTTCATATTAATTTTCCTAAAATTCCCTATAAAGTACAAAATGACTCTGCAACAGGTTAAGGAAAAAAAAATACTTAGGGATTTTAATTGACCATAAACTCGTTATGAGTGAGTTATGACTATAAACATATTTAAATAGACATACCCTCTAAAGCAAATGTGGCCACGATTCCCTTGGATTTATGGGGGTCTCAGCACGCAGGAAGCAGCCAGTTCCTGCTATGGATGTCACTTTTGAGAATCATGCTGACAAACTAAACACCCTCCCCAGAAAATGATCAGTGTGGAGGTTAAGGGTCGGAAACTACCAGGCAGTCCCCCCCCCCCCCGGAAGAAACTTACGAAGATCAGCCTCAGACAAAAAAGTCTGGGGTGGGACATGGGGAAGCTTGGCTCTTTCAAGGAAAACAGTGAAGACCACTTAACAGAGTCTGCGAAGGGAGGAGTGTACAGAATGCAACTGAATGAAGAGAAGAACTTCCTTAAACAATAAAAGGGACTGACCAACCAGCAGGAAGCTCTCATCCCTGAAAAAGGCCCAGCCTGTTCCTCAGGAGTGGTTGTGGGGAATTCCTAAGTTGAACAGAAGGTTGAATTAAATCAGCTTTAACTTCTCATCCAAGTCTAACATGCTGTGCTGCAAAGGCTGATCTTCAAAACAACGTACAGTTTACGGCCTGGTGGCTCTCTGTCTGAGAAGAGTCTGTCCTGGGGACGTTCTGTTGGTCTGTGACGTGCGAGGAGGGAGAATTTCCTGCGTGTGGCTCACTTACAGGCAGCTGTTGCTCCGACGGTCTTTTTTGGGACGCCAGGGAGAAGCTGCCCCTTTTGGAAAGGGAGCAGGATGGAATGGGGCGCGGGCGGGCTGATCTTGAATTAATCTTTCCCCTCAGTCCCAGGCATTCCTAACCTATTACTCAGTTTGGGTTCAGGCTTCCCTTCCAGGGGAAGCACTGGCGCAGCTGCTGGGTCGAGGGAGTGGCTGCTCATAGCTGGCAGAAGCCAACCTACAATCTACCTACTTTTACACTGAATGAATGACTAAATAAATGTAAGTAAATAAATAATAAACAAACACATAAATAAATGTATGCATGTGTGATTAGTGCAAGAGGGAGTTGCCGCCATCGTCAGCACCACTCTTGGGCTGACAGTCGACCGTCTCACTAGGTGAGGAGCCGAACAAGGGAACAGGTGCGCCTCATCCTTATGCCACTTCTCCTAAGCAGGGAGCACCTCGCCGCGGTCCGTGTACTCGGAACCAGTTAACCAAGGCTAGACAAAGGCTAGAACGGGAGGACAGGAGGGGACGGGGCGCGGTCCGGGGAGAGAGGCCGGGAGCCTGGAGCCCTTTGCACTGCAGCTGACGTCATTGTCTGAAAGACAGTTGTTCCTCCCCTTCCCGGAGAGGCAGGCAAATGGCTGTGCGGGGGCAGGAGAGGGGTTGCCTGGAGGGTGTGAACTGTGGGAGGAGGTGCCGGTGTGGGGAGAAGTGTGGAGAGAGGTGCGGAGATGTGAAACGGAGGCCTGGAGTCAGACGCCCCGCGGGAAAGCCGCCGGCGCTGGAGGTGTTTGCGCCGCTCCGAGCTCCGCCCCGCGCTCGGCGCAAGGCTCGGCCCGGGAGGGGCACGCCTGCTTGGGGGTGGGGAGTGTGTGCACCAGGGGGTGGGTCCATCGCGGCGGTGGGGGTGGAGAGCTGCCTGCGCATGTCAAGACCGACCAAGCGCACACGGTCAGGGGCGCCTGGAGAAGGGCAGCTGGTCACCCGCCACCCAGGGTGGGGGCCCCGGCAAGATCCAGGGGCGAGCTCCGGGAAAGGGGCCACCCTCCCTTCACCCCTACCCCATCTCTGAGATCGCCAGCAAACGGGAGCTTCCACCTTCTTCCTGGTCTTTCCAGGCCTCCCTGGAGAGGCAAGGGCGGGTGTGGGCGGCACCGGAGGGAAGGAATTTTGTAGCTCCGACGGCCCTGGTGGCGTCGGGCGTGGGGACACGCCCAGCTAGAGCTGCCGGTCACGGCGGATGAAGCCGGGGCTCCCGCGTCTTGGTGGATCTTGATCGGAGCGTAGCTGTTCCAAAGGGAGGCGAGGGGCGGATCAACATGGTCCCCTCCGACAGCCCGACCGCCTAGAGCCAGCTGTGCTGAGTGAGCCTTCACCGAGGCGCGAGGCCGAGAAGCCGCGGCGCAGCAGGACTTGAAGTTCCGGGGTGGGCGGGGAAGGTGCTGTCCGCGGTGCTGAGCCGGGTCCCCGCGGCGCGCTCGCGGGGAGCGTGCGGGTGCTGATCCTTCAGCGCGAGGCGAGGCGGTCTGTTCGGGCAGCTTCCAGCGGAAAGCGCGGCCCGCCCGACAGCCCCGCAGCGCCTCCCCAGGCACTGGCGCGTGGCCCTCCTTCCAGCCAGAAAGTCGCCCCCTTGGCGCAGATCGTCCCTAAGTGTTTCCTCCAAAGTATCCGAGAGGGCGCAATTCCTGACCGAGGGAATCTCTCCGTTTAGCCCCGGAAACCACTCGCCTAAGAAGATGCTTGCCTTCAACAGATTGTTTCTCCTACCGTCCTTCGTGCTCATCTTCTGGGGTAAGCACCAGCACCCTGCCCTGCGCGACGCAGAGGGCGGTAATGATGCTAACAATAGTAACTCTTATTGATGTCGTTGGTGACAAAAAGGATCCCTGGTTGGCTTCCCTCTGCGATGTCTGCCAGCCATGGAGCTGCATAGGGTTGTTCCATGAGGGCTGGGTTCAGAGACTGGAAAAACGCCTCTGCCCCCCACCCCCAGTTGCTTTATTCCTGAACCTCCCTGGGTGGTTGGTTCTTCCACCCCTCCTCCCATTTGCTAATTATTCCCAAGTATTTTCTCCCCTTTACTAAAAGGGAATGCAATCATTAAAAATTTTGATTGCACCTACGTTTCTCAGTGAGTGAGTTTGGAAACCTTATTGGATCTTCAAGTGAATTTCTACATATTAAAAATAGCTGGGTGCATGAATTCGGAGACAGAAAATCCTTTAGTTGTTGATCCATTGGCTCAATCTTAATAAGGAATGGGAGAAAACCGGCCCCAGTCATTTGCTGCCATGTGTGAGATCAGTGGGCACCTGCGAGTGCATCTATCTTTTCCCCCCATGAACATGGGAACTAGGGTATTTGATGTCTGGGCAGCTGGGTTTCTGCCTCCAAAGATGAATACACTCTTGCTTGTTGCTGTAAGGGACTGAGGTGACTTTCTCCCTCTGAGCAAGGGACGCTGCGCCTGCGGCAGGGAGGCCAAGCAGGGCGGCATCAGACCAGCTCGGAGCAGGCTGCCTGCATGTGCAGGGGCGTTCATGAGGCTGCATGACAATATCCGAGAATGTAGTTGAGAGACGCTTTCCTGTGTGTCGGTCAGGCACTCCTCAGTGGCTGGACGTGGGCCCCGTGCGTGCCTGCGCGTGAGAGTGTGGACATCTGAATGGGGTGGGGAGGACATGGCGGGGTGTGTGTGGATGTGTGTGTGCGTGCAGGTGGTTGTGCAATGCTGGGTATCTCTACCTTGGTGCCTCTTCCTAGATCCTCAGGGGAAAAACAGGTGCTTTCCCATGGCTATGTGGCTTGTACACATCTGAGTTCCCCTCCTCCACCCTAAAAATTAATAATGAGCATAATTAGAAGTGATCATGCCCATGAGCCCTGTTGAAACTCGGCATGTGGAGTTACGCCCCCACGGTTGGCATGAAACCCACTGTGCCTCTGCGGGGGCAGGCCCGCTCGTGGGCTTTCCTCTTTGTCTCAGCATCACTGACGAAGCCTCCAAGACCAACGAAGGCAGAGTTCCTCTTGGAGGCTTTCGGACTGCCGGCGTTATCTGGGTGTTGCGTGTGGCCAGACATGCAGAGGCGAGCTTCCTGTTGAACCAATTGCCTGATGAGACAGTCTGGGAAGAGTGGGGCTGGGGGGCAAACGCTGGTCCCAAGGACAGGCTCTCTCCATCTGTCCCCAGTAGAAGAGGCTGGACGTGGAGACGAAGCAGACAATGGTCTCAGCTGCCTGGAAGATCTAAGGCTGGGATTTTCTCAGGGGAAGCTAAGGCTGAGGACGTGGGAGAGGAAGACAGCGAGCAGGGCTGGGCTGGGGGTCTGCAGAGCCTTTCTTTTTAAATTGTCATCGAGGTTTTAGGGTCCCTGCCTGAATTCTGGTGGGGACAGAAAACAGTTTATAGACCAAAGACCTTTTGACTAGGACTTGCCAAGTTGAGGTTGGAGCCTTAGCTCTGCCACTAGCTTGCTATGTAAAACCTGAGAATATCTGGATCCTCATATGTGAAGTGTGGAAGTTGGCGCTGATGATATCTAACATCCCTTCCAGCTCCACACTGAATGGTAGGGAAAGATGTACAGAATATTTCTTGAATAGTCAGAGCCCCCTTTCCCCTCCCGACCCTCACTCTCCCCCCAAAACTCCTGTAGAAGAAATGTGCACATTTCACCCATTTTTGCTCATTCTTAGTTTATTTGTAACCTGAACATTGGTTCACTGAACTGGAAGATGCAGAAACAAAAGAGGGACAGTCCAGGAAACTTGGTCATTAAATGTAAGAGAAAGGGCCTGGCTTCACCCATGAAATTTTGTTTTATTTGCTTGTAATTTCAGTATTGGAAAGTACTTACCTTAGACACTGTCTCCCTGCCCAAGCTGATTTTTCTCATCATGCAAATATGAATACAAAGAATCTTTTCTATTCTTCTACTGTCTGCACATATTGAAGAAGGTTCCCTTATTTCTTTTAATAATTCATTTAATAATAATAATGAAGCAACCCTACACTTACCTGGGGCTTTATAGTTTACTTCACTACTTTTCAAGCCTTTCCTTTATTTGGTCCCCTATCAACCCTGTGGGCCAGTAGGAGAAGGAGTGTTATCTCTAATTCAGAGAAGAGAAAATGAGCTGAGAAAGGGGAAAGGACTTGCTAGAGAACTCTGTGTCCTGATCTGAGTCTTCCAGTGCTTGTTCCAGCGCTTCTCGTGGACACGTTGCTGCTATGCAGAGGTGCCAGGTGGACATCTACCTTCTCATCTCTTCCCTGAGCCACCCTTGCTTCCCTCCCCCATGCCATTGCCTTTTCTAGGTCCTCACTCATCCTTCAGTGTCCTGTGCCTTCTCTCTCCACTCTTCCTCTGCTGGTCTACTGTCCCGAATGTCTGCTGATGGTTGGGGCGGGGGGTGTTTTCCTCGCTTCCCCCAGTAGCTCATCTTGCATCCTGTTTTTTTCAAGGCTCTGCTAAGTGACTGGCTAATCTGATAGACCAAGTCATTACAGGGTATTAATATCTGCAAGCAACTTTATTTGTTACTCCTTTTGGGAAGCATTTACAATCCAATCAAAGCATTTTTTATCTTAGTGCAAAGGAAAGCATTCTAGAGCAAGCCCTGGAGGGACAGTGTAGCAATGCCCAAAGAAGAGAAAGATTTGAGGGTGTTAGAGGAGTTTATTCAGTATACACTACTGTCTGCCTCATAATAGATGGATGCTATTCCTTAGTTAAATATTATCATCATTGATATGTTATAGTCTTCCTTCTCATAAGTTTCCTCATTGTTTAATACTATGGAAATGGAAAAGGAGAGCAAAGGTCAAATATTTCATCCAGATTATTCGAGGAGCTTGTTTTGTGCAGTCGGCAATATGGGTGGCACACCACCCTTCCTGCACTGCACCAGGCACAGCCTTTTCCTGGACAGCTAGAGGAGTCCAAAGAAAGGGAAGCGGCGGTGCCCTGGAGGCTCACTGGCTGGAGAGCCGCACCCACCTCCTGATGACAGGGGCGGCCACTCGCAGTGCCAAGGGCGAGCAAACAGGGCGAAAGGACCTCAAGGCTGCTTCACAGTATGTTCCCTGGGGCCTCGTGAGGGGAGTCTCTGCCCCAAGAACCTTCAGGGAGCAGGGAGCAGCGGGACTTCCCTCTGAAGGCAGCTGTGGTCACTGTCCTCGGAGGGTCCTTACAGGGAAAAGGGGCCGCCATGCCGTGGTCCCTGCCCCGGTCCCCGTGCCAACTGCGCAGGTCCCGCCTTCCTCCTTTAACTTTAAATGAACTGTGCTCCTGTGTCGGGCCAGCTCGCCTTCTTTTCCACTAGAGCGCATCACCCCTCACCTACTCAAGGATGTTAATACCGCAGATTATTCCTTCCCAAACCCCAGCAGCTCCTCTGCCACCTTCACCCAAGCAAGGCTGTTGAGCGTCTCTCAGGCTGATCTCTGTACCAGCCTCTTACCTGTTATCCTTGCTCCCGCCCTTCGCTTCCTTGCCTCTTTAGTTTATTCTCCATGTAGTAGTCGTACCGTATACTTTTCTATAAATCAGGTAGATCATGTCATTCTTCCACTCGGGACCCGCCAGGCTCCCCCGTCACTGAGCAAAAGCCAACGTTCTAACCATGGTCTACAAGCCCAGCCTTGACCTGGCCCTGGCTTATGTCTCCTGCCTTGTCTCTGGCTAGTCTCACCTTGCTCGTTGCACTTCATTGTGCATTTTGCCTTCCGCAAACACACTCCGGCCCTCGTCCCCCTGAGCTGCCCTATCCTCTGTCCAGCACACCTCACCTCACAAAGGTAGTCACATACCTCGCTCCCTCGTTTCTTGCCCTCGGCGCCTGCTTGCTCCGCCCTTCTCAGGGAGGCGGCCTCCAATGACCTCCCGCACTCTCCCTCTCCTCTGTTCTGTTTTATTTCGTCTGTTAACACGCACTGCCATTCGAAGTTGCCGACTCTGTCCCTCTGCCTCCACTCTAATGTAGGCTCCGTGAATGCAGAGATGGCTTCTGTGTGGTCCCTGCTGTAGTCTCAGTGCCGCCGCACAGTAAGCACTCAACACATTTGCTGAGTTGCGAACAAATTAATGAAGGATAAAACATTAACAAGGAATGTTTGTATAAAGCACACTTGTATAAATTACTCCATAGAATTCTCATGACAGAGCTATTAGATAAATATTGTTTTCAAACCCAGTCCTTCAGTGGCCAGACACTATCTTCATCTTGCCTCTGTAAGTGTAACCGTACAATCCTTGGTACATTTTTCTATTCTACTTTTCAAGCCATCATAATCGAACTAACTTATCTTTGCCACATCTCATTAAATACGAGTACACACTCTTCACATCTCTACCTACTCCCAAACTTGTGTATCGACTACCCCTCCTTTTTCTCTTCCTTTTTTCCAACCAGGCCCGTAATCAAGGCTTCAAGCTCATCGCAGATCAGTTGTCCCCAGACACGTGCCCATTAAGAGGGGGGGTCCTTGAAGAGAAGCAGGGGAGCGTCTCGCCGACTACCCGAGAACACCAGTCACAGCTTGCCTGAGAGTTTTAAAACCGATTAAGCTTATTTTTCCCTAATATTTTAAACTGTATATTAGGCCACTAATTTTTAGGCTCTGTTTTTAAAAGTGAGATGTAATGCCTTCTTAGTCAGTCAAATATGATATTTCATGCTTCACTCAAAATTAATCCATCAGTCTCATTTTAAGCTCTAAATAAGGCTTTCCTCTGTTTTAAATTTTATTTATTTATTTATTGGAGAAAAGAGAGAGGAACATCGATGTGAGAGAGAAACGTCGATGGGCTACCCCCAGCACACACCTCTCGCACGCGCCCCCACTGGGGACCAAACCGGCAGCCTCGGCTTGTGCCCGGACCAGGAATCAGACCCAGGGCCCTTCACTGTGCAGGACGACACCCACCTAAGCCACACTGGTCAGGGTGCTTTCCTCTGCTTTCAGAAATAACCTTGTGCTGGAAGAGGAACAGACTAACCACTTACAGTGAACTAGTTTTCAAATATCAGCATGCATTGGCTTACAGTTTTAGGGGCTCTGTCTTTATTATGGTTACATGAGAAGGCAGCACCAGATGGGGCCTCCGCGTTCTTGATACAGGAATCTTTGGTGGCATTGAAGTGCCACTGTGAATCTTCCGTGCAATGAAGTGCAAACTCATTCACCAAATAGCTTTTGGCATTTGTGAACAGCTTCAGCTCCACAAAATTCCTTTTTTTTAAAAAAAAAAAAAAAATTGAGCTAAACTTAATCTCTTGTAACATTGGGACAGAATCTATTTTACCTTCCACAGAGGAGCTTTCAAATATTTGAAGACGAATAAGTTCTGTGTCCAAGCTCAGTGCCCTGTGCCCTCCCGGCTGCTCCTCACCAGACTCGGACCCCAGACCCTCTCACCTTGCTCCCCTCTGGGCGTGCCCTCGCTGACCACTTCCTTTTGGAGGGTCGGACACCCGGGACTGAAACTCAAGGTCCAGGTGTGCTCTGCTCTTCCCTTTCTCTCTGCACATTTTACACCTGCTCATGCGGCCGCGTGTGCGCTGGCCTTGCTGCCAGCCACAGCCCGCTGTGGACTCGCTCTCGGTTTGCAGTCTGATGTACTGGCCTTTTCCAATGGGCCGTGCGTTTCTAGGGGCAGGAACTGTGAGTGCAGGCCTCCGCGCGGTAGGCTGGCGTCCCCCGGTCCTCCCAATGTTCACATTTGTCTCCCTCTACTCTGCCTAAGGCAGTGCTGCAGCCTCATGGCCAGTCAGCTCGCTGCTGTCCTCCTTGCTGCCCCATCCGCCACTGTGCATAAGAATTACCCACATTTTTCTTAACACACAGATATCACTGCATCCCTCCATGGCTCTGAAACATCTGACCCCTCACAGTGAAGGACACACAGTGGTCTTCGCACCGCGAGTCCTTTTTCCACCTCAAGCCCCAGCATCCTTCTCCTTCTCTTTCCCCGGCCCGAGCAGGAATCACTTCCCCTCCTCTGGGACGAGCAGCCACTAGCCCGTCACTCACCAGGTCTGGGTCAGCAACACTTAGGAGCATGTGTTCCCGGCTGGATCACATCTGACTTTAGGGCATGGCCGGCGTCTGTTCATCTTTGTGTCTCAGCCTAGCGCCAGCCAGGCACACAGTGGATTTCAGTGGCGCTGGCTGAGGGGCGGGTGCGTGGATGGCCAGCGGGTGGGTGAGTCCAGCCCCGTCTCCCACCCAGACTAGATGCCTTGAAGGGCAGGGCTCAGTGGGCTCTGCATCTCATCCCCATTGCCTCCCGGGAGGCGTCCCCTGGGCCTTCCCCGATCCCCCTCCTTGTCTGTTGTGAGCATGCACACTCGGGGAGCACCGGGACAGGTATACACACTTGCCTATGGTATTTTCAAACTTATCTCACGATGCTTCCTCCTCTGTCCCTTCTCTCTCTCCTCTTGTTCTCCAATGCCGCTCTCCCGGTGTCCCTCCCCTGCCGCCCGGCCTCTCTGCAGCCAGCGTGTGCTTCCCCGTGTGCGTGGAGGTGCCCTCGGATACCGAGGCCGTCCAGGGCAGCCCCACGAAGCTGCGCTGCATCTCCTGCATGAAGCGGGAGAAGGTGGAGGCCACCACGGTGGTGGAGTGGTTCTACAGGCCCGAGGGCGGCAAGGACTTCCTGGTACGTCTCACTGCGACTCCGGCCTCCCTTCTGCCGTCTCTGTGCTGTGGGCCTGGCACCCGAGAGCCTGGGACCGATGATGCGACAAACACTGGCCCTTTCGCTTCCAAGCCCGGGCCGCTCCTCGGCAGAGGGCCAGCAGCCCACAGCCTTCGCCCATCCCAGCCTCCGAGAAGGTTCGGCGCTCCTGGTCCCAGTCCCGGTCACAGTCCCGGTCACAGCAGGAGAGGGAGAAAGAGGCAAACGGTATTCCAAGCCTACAGTGTGCTAGTCACCTGACGAGGCACTTTGTAGGGTTCTCATTTAACCTTCTTCACCGTCTTATTAGATAGATTAAATTAGTAGAAAAATTGAATCCTGCGGCCTGGCCCAGACTGCCCATGAACTCTCAGAGGGGAGCAGCCCCAAGTGTCAAGTTTGAGGCCGGGGCCTTCCGACGGCTTCATGACCAATGAGCCTGCCTCTCTCGGCGCCACGCCTTGCCCTCTCACTGGCTACCCCCGGGACACTCAGCAAGCATCATGTGTCAGGGCGCCCAGGGTCGCTAACTTAACCCCCCACCCCAGTGGAATGAGAATCACAGGGGCGACCAGGGCTGGCCGTCAGCGGGTACATGCAGTGCAGCCACCTCAGCGGGTGAAATAGCTACATAATTCTGTGGTGGGCACTTCCTGTGCCAAACGGCCCAAGCAGCCCCCCACCTTAAGGTCCCACTGGGAGCCCCCAAACCTCCCCATGATCTGGGACTGAAGGCAGCAGCACCTGACAGAGCAGGGTGTCTCCCAGACTCTGCCACTGTGCCAGCCAAGGTCAGCTCGGACTGGCTGGTGCCCGTGCCACGACGGTTGTTATAACCGTGGATTACCACCATGGGGAAGAACGTTATTTACACTTTCACCGTCTCTGGAGCCAGGCTGCCTGGGCGTATAACTTATTAGCTTTGTATTTCCTTGGACAAATTGCTGAACCTCTCTGTAACCCAGTTCATGCATCTCTAAAATGGGGGTGTAACCTATAGCTACGTCACAGGGTTGTTACCAGGAATCGTGAGCTTTAATTTTTTAGTGCATTTAGGAGAGTTCTAGAATATAGGAAGCACTGTATCAGTGTTTTCTAAAGAAAAAATTATATGTACCAATGAGGCACCTGGGGCTTAAAAAAGTTAAGACAGGAAGAGAGCTCCTATTTGAACCAGGACGTCGGATGGCAGACACAAAACCCTTGTTGCTGCACAGTCCCCTGTTCCGGCAGGCAGGCCCGCTCCACGAGGCTTTTCACAGAAACAGCGGCAGGGGAAGCTGGGTCCACGTCTCTTCTGCCCAGCTTTCCCAAAGTGGGCGTCATGTCTGCCTCTAGGCCGCACGTGCCATCCTGATGCAGGGTGGTGCCAATAGTGCGGCCAGTAGACCTCCCAGCATTGGCCTAGGGCTGACCATGACCGAGGCCAGTGCCCGGGTTTCAAGAACCTGGATGTCTCGGCCAGAGACAAAGGCACCCCTGGACGCAGGCCTGGCCCTGGGCCCGTGGCCTGCTCGGCTTCCAGGCCTGTCCAAGCTGAGGAGAAGGGGGCCCTGAGGGGGAGGAAACGTTTAACATCGTGCTGCAGACACAGAGTCGGGCTCACAGAAATTTCGTGAGGACGGTGATGCTCCGTGTCCCTGCTGTCCGGGAGCCACTCGCCGCGTGTGGCTATGAAGCCCTTCGAATGTGGACAGTGCAACTGAGGCATGGAATGTTAAATTTCATTAACGTTCTAGTAATTTAAATGTTAATGTAAGTAGCCACACGTGGCAGGTGGACACTAGAATGGAGAGCACAGCTGTACAGGAAAAAAAGTGTCAGAAGGTGGAGGTGTTTGAGAAAAGAATTTTAGAGACCATATTGCACTTATCATGCAGCCCAAAGCAAAAGACCTGATGTGCGCCTATCCGCTGACAGCCCTCTGCTTACTGGGACATTTTAACACCCCAGACTACCCTCCACCCCCATACACACACCGCTGCCGCGGCCTGGCCCAGATTGGCCACGTCCTCTCGGAGGCAGCGACCAGCTCAGAGAGTCAGGTTCGAGGCCAGGGCTCTCAGATGGCTTCAGGGCTAATGAGCCACACCCTCTCAGTCTCTGTGCCTGTCCTCGCACTGGCTGCCGCCATGACACGCCTTACTCTCTTTCTTGTTCTTTCATTCCCCTCCCAGTCCTTTGTCCCCCTCAGTTTACCCCCTGGTCTCCTGCATGCTTCCCTCACTCCCTGTGCTTTCTCTCCTTGCTGTGGCCTTATGCCCTGACACCTGTTTGCCTTTGCCCGTCTTCCCCGTCCTTACTCTCGCCCCCCTCCCTCGAGATCCCTCATGCCATCCCCACATCCTGGATCTCCTTGCGGCATCGCCTTCTTGCCTCCCGTGCTGCACAGGTGTGCTCTTCTCCCCTGGCCTCGCCCCAGCCCCGCTGTCCCGCCCCTTCCTCTCGGGGCCCTACCCTCCGCTTCTCTCCCGGCAGATCTATGAGTATCGGAATGGCCACCAGGAGGTGGAGAGCCCCTTCCTGGGACGGCTGCAGTGGAACGGGAGCAAGGACTTGCAGGATGTGTCCATCACTGTGCTCAACGTCACCCTGAATGACTCCGGGCTCTATACCTGCAACGTGTCCCGGGAGTTTGACTTTGAGGGACATCGCCCCTTTGTGAAGACCACACGGCTCATCCCCCTCCGAGTCACCGAGGAGGGTGAGGCTGGGGCGCAGGGTCTCTCGGGGCTCTTGCTCCTGGGGGAGGGCGGGCAGTGGGTTTCCACACCGATGACACCCTTGTAGAGCACAGCACCCATGCATTTTGGAGGGGTGGTTTCTAAAAGCATTGCCATTGACTTGTCTTCCCTCAGTGGCCAGGATGCAGGTTGCCCAGCCAGCCTTTCCTCTAAGCAGAATGGCGTGGCGACGGAGCAGGTGACCCCTTCCTAGGCCCTTGATTCCCCTCCCTGGAGACAGAGGACACCCTCCATGAAGCCCGAAGTTGCCAGATCAGCTCCACTGCCTTCTCTGGCCTACGCCAAACCCCTGACTCAGTGGGCTCAGAGAACCGTCCCTTCCTGTGCGTGAGCCACACACTCCTCTAAGCCAGTAGCTCTCAAACTTCAGTGAGCCTCAAAAGCCCCTCAGGGCTTCTTAAAACTCAGCCTTTCTGACTCCATAGGTGGAACCGGAGAGTGTGCATGTCTAACAGGTTGCCAGGAGGTGCTGCCGCGCTGGGGACTGCACTGCGAGAACCACTGCTCTAACCGGGGTTTGACGGGCTTTGTCGTCTTTCTGCGCAATGATTACCCCAGCAACCCTGTTCCCATTGTGGCCTCTCACATATATAACTCCTTCCTCAGCTGGGAGAAGGAGAAACATTGGTAGCACTCCCGTTTTTGATTTGGAATGTTCAGATTCCCCCCAGCTGGTTCCTGGTTCCAGTGGGAAGTCCTTTCACCCACCTGGCTCCCATATGCCTCTGCTGCAATCCGCCCAGAAATCGGCGGGCACTTCGAGAGTTCTCATGCACTGCTTTCGCTCTGCCTTCAACAGGCTCAGAGCTGCAGCTCCTAGCCCCTCCCAAATGTGCCTTTCCCAGGTCAGGACAGCGATATGTGCGTCATCCGTTAGCCAATGCCAGTTCACTTAGCCTCTCTCCATTTATTTCCAGCACATTCTTAGCATTGCTGCTACCCCCAGATGCAGTTTGGTGAGCAGGCAAAAGGTGTGGGGTGTGAAAGAAAGAAGAGGTGAAATTAAAGACAGGCCTCTTTCTAGAAAAGGATCCCCGGAATCCCAGGTTCTGGGCCACGCATTTATTTTTGGTCATGTTTTGTGGTAAAATTCATGGAACACGTTTGGATGCGAACGACAGAAGTCATTATTTAGATCGAAAGACTAGAACACAAAATAGGTCAATTCGGAAAGTGCGGAAGGACTCTCAGGCCACTTAAATCCAGACGTGATGAGCCACTTTCCCGCTCCTAACCCTCCTCTTGGGTAAAACGAAGAGTTTGGACCGCAAGTTCTCTAAGGCATGTTCAAAAGTTCCGCTGTCCTCATCTGTTCACGCACCCATCCTCCCTGGGGAAAGGACGCTTAGCGCCCTCTACCGCCACCATCAGGAACTGCTGGCTGGGGACTGCCCGGACACTAGGACGGGTTCTGTCTCCACCTCCTGCTCTCAGGATTTTGCCCCCACCCCCCACCCCCCGAGACACTTGTGGAGCCACTGGAGAGCACCGCGAAGCTGAGCCAGCGCCCCGCCAGGCACCAGACCAAGGCTCGAGTGAAAATAGAAGGAAAACAAGTTTGCTGTCAGCCACAGTGCCTCTCGGGACCTTAGGGCTGGGAGGAAGCGTGGCTCGCATTCAATGCAGGGGTTGTGGGGCCTTCTCTCTGCATCACTCTTACAGGTTGGGGTGCGCCTGGCGCAAGGGAGTTGAAATGACGACTCGGCGGGTCCGGATCGCAGGGTGCCACGCTGGTGCGGCTGGCTTTGGGGCTGGGAGAACGGAGCGCGGGAGAGCGGCCTCGCCGAAGGGCAGGAGGCGAGTGGGCCCCGGAAGCGATCCAGATCCCTCGCCGCCGATCGGGCCAGCTCTGTCTCCACCGCCTCCCGCCCTTGCACTGCCGCCCCACCGCCTGCCACTTGCGCTTCGTGCCTTCGTCTTCCTCCGTGACCCCGGGGCAGCCCTCCGTCCCGGCGCCAACCCTCACTGCTCTGCCACCGCCCAGAGCGCCGCACCCCACGTGGCCCGCCGCCCACTCCTCGTGCCAGTGCCGCGGCGGGCCATCCTGGCGCTCTGTTCCGGCTGGCCTCCTCCTGCTTTAGGCTCCCACCTGTTAGCTCTGAGACAGAAATCTGGGCCCCTGCACCTGGAGGTGACTGAAAATCCTGAGGACAGCTTCCTGCGGCACTACTGCTGGGTTCCTGCATTCACAAAGAGACGATGCGCACCGCCCCCTGGCCACCGCCGGCCTGTGAGGAGACATTGGCCATCCGGCAGGCATCCTTCTGGGCCTCAGGCTGCGCCTGTGGCTTCCCGCTCCGGTTAGAAAACCTGGAGGGCCCCGGAGCGGAGGTCATGCTGGCCACGTGTGCTTTTAAGGAGCAGGGTCTTGACGGTGGCTTGGGCTCTGTGAATACCCAGGACCAGGAACCTAATTAGCTGGGGGAGCTGGCAGGGGGAGACATGGCCACAACCTTCCTTCCCACTTGGAAGGAGTATGAATCGGAACATTCGCCATGTGCCATATGTCATGTTTTAATTCTCACTTGTATTGGTCATGAAGCAAAAAGATCAATGTTTATATTCATTCGTTCAACAAATACCTAGCGAATATTTTGAACATTCTAGGATTAGACAACAAGCTGATGGTTCAGAGATAAATGAGATATGCCCAGAGTAAGCACACAGTCAGCAGAGAAGAGAGATCAGCACAGCACAGCACAGTACAGCCGAGAAGGGCTGCAGTGGGGAGATGGACGAAGTGCCTGAGGAAGGGGGTGAACAACCCCGCGTGAGAGGCTGAGGAAGGTTTCACAACAGAGGGAGCTTCCGTGGAGTCTAAAACGACGATCAGGAGACAAGAAAGGAGGGAATGTTGGGACAGAGGGAGCAGTGGGATGTGAGATACAATCTAGGAAGAGGGAAGAGGAAGAAGAAATGTCCACAGATTCCAAGAGACCGCAATGTGTACGAGAAGAGAAGTTTTGCGGGGCAGCTGACTGGAAATTAGCTGAGAAAGGCTGGATCATGCAAGGCCTTGCAAGCTGCGTTAGTAGAAACTGGGCTTTACTCTGAGGGCCGGATGAAATACTGCAGGTTTTGAACAGGGAGCAGTAGGCTCAGCCCTGGGCTGCAGAAGCAGAACTTTGAGGATGGTCTGGTTCATACACGGAATCCTCCGACACTCACTTTTGTTTGGGTGTACGAGCTGGGGAGGTCCTCCTTCCTAATCCAGACTTGTAGAGAATACGTCCATGTCGCGGGGTGGGCTGAAGGCGTGGGCCCTGGACATGTGTCTGTCGGCCTCTCTTCCTTGACGCCACCCTCCCCCACCCTGCGCTCAGACAACATACCGGGTTGAAGCCTTACTTATAAGACATATCCCTTACATCTGTGTAGACATTTAAATTTCAGAAAACATTCTTAAATACATTAGGTAATGTAGTAATGTAAACTATTATTGTCACTTTGCAAATTAAGAAACTGAGACTCAAATAAAGGTTTGGGGCCTCGCTCTAGATGCCTCACTTGATTCTGAGACTCCTCCCACTGCTCTGCAACCCCTGCCACCATCGCTCTCCGCTCTCGCTCTCCCCTCCCTCCCAGCACCCGGTGACAGTCAGTGGGAAGCCAGCAGGCAGGGCAGTCAGAGGACAGAAACTTCCTTTGACATCCCCCTGAGGTTCTTCAGACCAGTGCTCCCTGAAGCCACACCTCAAACAGGCTCCACGTCACTCTGACGTCAGTGACAGCCCTGTGTTTACTGGACACGCACATTCTGAGTCTCCTTCCCCCTCTTGCAGCTGGAGAGGACTTCACCTCTGTCGTCTCAGAAATCATGATGTACATCCTCCTGGTCTTTCTCACCTTGTGGCTGCTCATCGAGATGATATATTGCTACCGGAAGGTCGCAAAGGCCGAAGAGGCAGCTCAAGAGAATGCGTAAGTCCAAAGATGCCAGAATAACAGCACCTTTTGAGCGCTTGCTCTCACAGGCAAAACGCTAGCTAAGCAATTGACATGATCATCTACTTTCCTCAAAGCCACCTTTGAGGTGTCAGCATCAACATAGTCATTTTGCAGGTGAGAAAACCATGCCTAGGAGGGTTTGCCCTAGGCCAGGATAAGCGGGGAGGGGAGGCTTGAATTCAGGCCTGCTAGCTCTCGGCCTGCACCTCAACCGCTCATGTAAAGCTCATCAGCTGCCGCCGAACCCCATGACGTGAGCACTGTTACGACCGCTTTATAGACTGCTCTCTAGCAGGCTCCTCGAGGGAAGGGGCTTGCAGAAGCCGCACAGGTGATGAGGGGGAGGCTGGGATTTGAGCCTTAGCCCCTCCATTCCCCATGGCCACGCTCTCGGGCCGCCTGCGCCCTTTCTTAGCTCCAAGCAACCCGTTCTTCCCTTGGAGCTCGGCAGCAGCCAGGCGCGCAGGGGAGGGGCTCTCCTTCCCCAGCGCGCACACTGCACCTCGGCCGCTCCTGTCGAGGGCCTAGTCACCACGGAGTGAGTCTGTGGGAGAAGTAATGGCGTCTGAGGGGTTTGGAGACTACGCTGGCCTATTATTTGGGGAGAGAAAAGACAGAAAAGCATTACGAGGCCAGCACAGATTTACGAGGCCAGCAACTTTGCTGAGGTAATAACCTAAAACCGCGAGGCTACTACCACCTAGAAATGTTGGACAAAATAAAGCATAATTTGCATGGTATCTATGATCTTAGTGAAAAAAAAAAAGACAATTGACCAGATATGGGGATAGACAGGATTGCTCTCCTGGGGGAGGCTGTCATTCCCGGTGACACGGGGGCTTGGATTTTAGTGCTTGGACAGGAAGTGCCCACACGTGGACAGGGAGTTCCCATGCTCGGGCACAAAGCACCTACAGTCGGGCTGCACAGCAGAGGGAGCTCGGGCTGAGGCCCCAGGAGATCTGGGGTCCTCAGAGAGCTAGGGTCCCCACCAAGGCCCAAGGATAGGTCAGAAAATAATCAGTCCACCAGCCCAGGGGAAGGCCGATGAAAGTTATCCATCTTGGCTTGACACCAAGTAGAAAAAAATAAAAGACTCTTGAGAATTAGTAACCACAAACCTGCTCCCACAATGCTTGGGATTTAAATTTATACGACCCAGATGATCCAGAAACCTCAAAGCTGAGAAATTCAATAATTAAAAAGAAATAAAAAAGATTCCTGAGCCAGTTATAACCGTGTAGAAGCAAGTGAAGACCATTCTGAAGGGCCCACCCTGAGCTGAGGTTGAAGAACAGGCCCCAGATAAGGCAACGCTGGGTCTGATTTCACAGCCTGATCCCAAACTAAAAGACACAGCAGGAAACAATGCACTGGGAGCAAGGGGTGGGATCAAATCCAAGAAACTTCAGACACAAGCGGGACCCGACAGAATATAGAAAATAAGTTTGTTCATATGAGTTGATGCAATAAAAGAAGGAACCTAAAGCATAAGAATAGAGTAAGTTGCTAAGAAAACAGAACAGGCAGATTTGAATAGGAATAAAAAAAAATGGGAAATGAAAAATACAGCCAAGAGGTGCAAGATGGCTATATAGAGAAGGCTGTACAGAACCCGCCCCTCCTGCGAGCGAACTCAAATTCACATTTTCAGATAGCAGTTACTCCTGCAAGACAGCTGAGGGCTGAGTTGCTGCTTCAGAACAACAGACAAGAGAGAGCCCCAACAGAGAAAGCTGAGAACTGAGGGAGCAGCGGGGGCTTTCTAGGCCAGAGGGGCAGGGAGCGCGCGCCATTGTCGACGCCCCCTCCACGTCTTCGGGGTGGGTGTGGGTTCTGTGGCCCACTTGCAAGAGGCCCTGCATCTCTGGGAGAAGGCAGGAACAGCTAGGTGTCCCCGCAAGCACCTGGCCTCCCTTTGGGGAGCTGCTCCAGCTGTGCAGGCCAGTGCTCTGGGCAGTGGAAGCCCAGCCTGGCTCCAGCAGGGCTTCCAAAACCCAGCTGGCACAGGCAGCGGAGAAAGAGGTGCCTTCTACACAAAGCCACTCTGTGCAACAAACGAGAGACTCTGTGTAGAGAAGGCGGGGAGCCGCAGTGCCGCCTGGGCCCTGTGGGAGTGCTCCGGCAGTGGCTGTGAGCACCGTGGGTTGCATCCCCCTACCTCTGTAGACGGTGGACGGGGCTCTGTCCAGGTGCTCCAGCCTACCTGCCAGGTTGCTGCAGTGCACACTGGCACCCATCGCTGGAGCCATTTCAGCCCGAACAAAGGAGCAAGTGGAATCATCAAGACAACATTACATGCATCTGGCCTCCCCACTCGGACATCTTGAGCACCCAGCCGGCCCCTGCGAGCCTGGCAAACCGCCTGGCGCACACAGCCTACACAGAGGCCGCTTTCCCAAGACTTAGAGAGATTTCTATCTAATTCACATAAACAAACAGAAAGTCAAACAAAATGATAGGACAGAAGAACGTCTCAAATGAAGAAACAAGAAAAATTCCCAGAAAAAAACCCTAAGGACATTGGAGATAAGTAATTTGCCTGATAAAGAGTTCAAAGAAACTTGAGCAGGGACTAGAAGAATTTAGGAAGAACTTCAACAAAGAGTTAGAAAGTATAGTAAAGAACCGAGCAGAGTTGAATGGGAGAAGATATTCGCCAATGATACATCCAATAAGTGGTTAATATCCAAAATACAGGGCGGGGCAAACGTAGGTTTAAAGTTGTATGTATGAAAAATAATACAATAATAAATAATAATACAAGAATAAACTATGTTTTTGTGTACTCATAACTGTAAACCTACTTTTGCCCCACCCTGTGTATAAAGAACTCATAAAACTTAACACCAAAAACAAAAAAGAAATAATTCAATTTAAAAATGGGCAAAGGATGAGGATAGATATTTCTCCAAAGAGGACCTACAGACAGCCAAGAGACATGAAAAGATGCTCAACAACACTAATTGTCAGAGAAATTCAAATTAAAACCACAGTGAGAGATCACCTCTCACCTGTCAGAATAGCTATCAGTATATCAACAAATAACAAGTGCTGGTGAGGATGTGGGGAAAAGGGAAGCCTTGTGCCCTGCTGAGACTGTAAATCATTGCAGCCACAATGGAGTGTCTTCAAAAAATTAAAAATTAAAGGTGCTGTACAATCCAGCAATTCCACTTCTGGGTATTTATCAAAAAAAAAAAAAAAAAAAAAAAAAGACCCCACTGACTCTAAAAGGTATATTCACCCTATGTTCATGGCAGCGTTGCTAGTAATAGCCAAGATATGGAAGCAACCCGGATGACCATCAGCTCATGAATGGATGAAGAAATTGTATCATGTGTAATGGAATATTAGTCAGCACTCAAAAACAATTAAATCTTGCCCTTTGTGACTATAGAGATGGGCCTAGGGAGTATTACATTAAGTGAAATAAGTCAGGCCGATTAAGTCAAATACCATATGATTTCATATGGGTTGCCAAAGGAGAGTGGTGAGGGAATGGGAATAAAAATAAATAAATAAAATTAAAATAAATAGTGACAACATTAAATGCTGGCAAAATGAAGGAGGAGGAGGAGAAGAAAAGAAATTGGAGTTAAGTGAAGGCAAGTGACATTGCCAAGGTCACCGTCAGCTGGGACAGGGCCCATCGCAAGGTCAGGTTCTTCTGGCTTCACCCGGCCCCTCCAGGGGACTTCAAGTGGCAGCTTTTCTTGGATAGCATTCAATGGTGGCCGTGACTCATCGGCAAAGGAAAGCAGTCAGTCCTGGCCTTTCTCTGTCTTCCCTCGTAAGTCACACCCAGCCCTGGAGCTGCTTCTAACCTCTTTTCTACTCCACCTGTTCTCAGCTACCAACTGCCTGGAATCCCCAGCCTTAAAAAAAGGTGTTTATTTGCACCTAAATTTCCCAGGGCCTGAGAGGCCAGTGTCTGCCTCTCCAGAGGCACAGCGCATAGTGGGCGGTCAGGAAGAGCTCAGTGTCGGGAAGCGGTAAGAAAAGACGGACACCAGAGCTCTCTGCGTCTGGGGAGCCAGGGAGCTCCGGGCTCGGGGTCTGGCAAGAAGTGCCCCAAAATGTATTTATATCTACTCGTACACACAGTCAGTAAAATTTAAGACTCAATGGATTGGCTCACCAGATACTGATAACCAGAAGATAAATGTAAGTGGTGTCATAAAGAATGAAGAAGAGAGATGTAAAAAGATGAAATATTACAAAGAAACATGAAGAAGAAAAATGAGGAGACCCACTAGAACAGAGAAAAAGGAGAAGCAGCCCCACTCAGATATGGTGGCTAAGGAAAGGCAGGACTCTTCAGACTTAGGGAGCACAGTACGTCCTGAGCAGGATACATACATGCAAACCTCAACCTAAACAGCAAGCATCTTTAAACCAATAAATGGCAGCTACCAAGATAATGTTCAGCCAATGTCATCTGTGGGTGACAGCTTTAGAAGAATGGCCTATAATATTAAAAACTTGTCAAGGATATCGTCTCTCCCTGCCTCTTTTCAATATTATATTGGAGATCCTAGGCCATGGACTAAGAAAAAAGAGGAAGAATTGGAAAGAAAAAAACTAAACTATCATTACTCATAGCCATTATCAATACCTACATAAAAAAGCTCAGGAAATCTAGAGTCGGCAAACTATTAGAACCAGTCGGAACATCCCATAAGCTTGTTGATATAAATAAAAATATAAAAATTACCTATATTCCAGCCAGAAAAATTTAGAAAAGCATTGACACATTTAAAACATTAATATTTGTTCAATTATAATAGCAGCAAATACTCTCCAGAACCTGGGAATAAATTGGGTAAAAACGTACAAGACCTTTAAGGACAAAATTAGAAAACTTTACTGACTTAAAAGATTTAAATAGAAAATAAAACCTTACTGTACAAACATAGCAGTTCTCTCCAAAATTAATCTGCAAATTTAATTAAATTCCAATCAAAGTATTTATTAAGTGGTTCAAGGGACTAGATAAGCTGATATTAACAGTCACATGGAAGGCCAAAGGGCCAAAACTAGTCCAAACCAAGGGACAGCCAGAGACTATTTTAGGTTTTTAGACTATACAGGGTCTCTCTTGCACATTGTTTTTTGGTTTTGCTTCTTTGCTTGCAACCTTTTAAGCAACAACCTTCCTTAGACCATGGGCCATATAGTTGGCTGATGTCAAAGAAAGAACAGTAAGTTTAGAGGAAGTGGCTGGTAGGACTTTTCCTATCGAATATGAAGATTCCTTATAGCACTATCAGAGTGAAGAGTTTGTGACACAGACGTAGGCATATAACACAGACAAAGAGAACAGAACAGAGAGCCCCCAAATACATCAGGAGGTATATAAAAACCAGTATGTGGCAGGCATGGCAGTGTAGTCATTGAAGGAAGAGTGAATTGTCCATTAAGTGGTAGGGGGACAATTCCTTATCCATATAGGAAAAAAAAATTAGATCCTCCATCTCTCACACTACCCAAAGATGAATTGTGAGTGGATTTAAACAAGGTAAATGAAAAACTTAAAAATTATATTAAGGAATATAAGAGAGTATCTTTATTCCCTTAGAATCAAGAGGATTTCTTCAAATACAAAGCAAAAGAAGGAAAAATGGTAATTGTGATTATACTATATAGAAGGGTGGGCAAAAGTAGGTTAATAATAATAATAAATAATACAATAATTAATAAGTAATAATACAACAATAAATTGTTTTGCATACTCACAACTGTAAACCTACTTATGCCAATCCCTGTATGTCAAAATTATTTTTTCATTATAACATCCATAAGCCAAGTTTAGAGGTAAACAAACTGGAAGAAGACATTTTCAATATACGAAATCAAGGAGAAGAAGGCTGTCTCAAAGTTAAAAATAGCAAAGCAAATGAACAAATTACAGAAGCAGAAACCAAAATAGCCTGTAAACTGATAAAAAGATGTTCAACTTTCCCAGTAATCAAGGAGGTGAATATTAAAGCAACTGTAAAATATAATTTCACCTATCAGTTGGCCAACATTTTAATCTAGCAATATTAAGTCCTGAGAGCAATGTGGATAAATGAACAGACTGATGGTAGAAGTAAAAAACAAAGAAAGAAGCAAACAAAAAGCTCCCATTATTCCAGTCCCCCTGAAAGGGCCATCCTCGTTTCCTGTTGGGAAACCCAGCCGGAAGGAAACGCAGAGCTGCTCTGTAGCCATCCTTGCTCCTGTGCCCTCGCTCCTTCCCTTTCCTTGCGTCCCCACCTCTGGGTACAAAAGCACTGATTCTCTTCCCCATTTGTCCTCCCGCAGGTCTGACTACCTTGCCATCCCATCAGAGAACAAAGAGAACTCTGTGGTGCCAGTAGAGGAGTAGAAGGGGTGTGACTCGAGGTGATGTACAGGCAAGGGGAGGGGAAGCTGGATAAGGATGGCAGGTGGCGCAAGTGACAAGTCACCCCTTATCAAAGTGACTTTAAATTTAGCCCCTTAGATTAATGTCTACCCTACCCAAGTTCCCACCCTCAGGAGGCTCCTTTAAGTTGATGCCCAAATCGCAAAGCTCTGTGTGACGTCAAGCCTGCAGAAGGTGATTTGGCCTGAGTGCTGGGGCAACTTGAACTCCTTACCTGTAGTGACAGAGGCATAGTAATCCACCCCCACCCTCCTCTATAAGGCTCGTGGATTTGGTCAGAGTCTTCGGCTGGGCTGGGCTGGAAGTTTTCAGTGAGTTGTTTTATCATTGACAGGTGACCAGAGCCCTGAGGGATTGGACACCCCGGGTTCAGTGACGTCCACAGCCTCAGGAGGTGCCCCAGAGGCCACATCGCTTCCCTTTGCGCATTCACCCTTCAGATCCCACGTCCCACGTCCACTTACCGCTGACTCCCTAACTCCATCCGACCTCGACACACCCAAAGACTTTGCCAGAACGGAGGAGCCAACATTTCTGCATAGGCTCAACCTCCCTCATCCTGGCTGTGGAGCAAGCAGCACCCACGCCTGCGGGACTTCTCCCCTGTGCTCCAAACGACTTTGAAGACGTGCTGGAGGCGGCACGCTCCTCTGCCCGTTGCTGTCTGGAGCCGGCTCACTCCACCGCTGCACGTGAATGGATATTTATAGTGGAAGGAAGCCACTCTAAGGAGTGACTAGGTTAAAGCAGGAGTGTCATGAGGTGGACTTTTTTGATGTCAGTTTTTTCCAAGCCCTTGGCCAACTGTAGTAGAGTGTCAGACAGAGTAAAGCATGCTTTTCTAGATTCGCTAGTGACAGGAAGCTCATTAAGCATGGACTAAAATGTCCTCTGGAGCTTCGTACCCCAGGGCTAGAACCCATGATTAGGTCTCCACGGCCTGCGTTAGTTTCAGTCCTTCAAGAAGCCAGGGACAAGAGACCTGGGAAGGATTCAACTATTTAAGTGGCTTTTCAAAGTCACACAGCACGTTCATGATCCTATTGGTATGTAATCTCCACCCCCCAAAGCGAGCAGACCACTTGAGATAGTTGGGAAGTATTATTTTCCTGCGGGCATTGGAACTGAAATTCCTAAGTTCTTCCTCTGAAAATCTGTGGATCAGTATTATTACTCATGTCATGGGAGACAGCTGAGACTTCGAGCTCAGCTTGACTTTGGAGGACGAACTGGAGCTGATGTAAGCCTTCGGTGTGGCCCAGATCAAACTTCCCAAGATGGGTAATTTTGGTTTTGAAGACTCTGACATTGAGATTGGCTATGACCATGCCTCTTCCACAAGCAGGCATTGGGTGGGTTGCCTGGCAGAGGCTAACTTGGATTCCGGTAACTAGAACTTGGCTGAAAAGGCAGAGAGAAAGACATGAAGCAGATTTGAAAAACTTCCTTAAGTGAAAGGATTTGTGAATCTGAAACATCCTGCAGAAGAATGTGTCTTGGAATGATATTTCAGAAACATGGATAACAAGCAAATGAGTGAAGTAACAAAGGAGGGATGAGTAGGTGGCTTTGAAATATTTTACCTGTGAACTCCTAATGTCCAGGTTCCCCCTGCCTCCTAGATTTTGGGAGAGCAGATGAACACTGGATAAACTTTAGTCAAAATCTTATGTCTCATTTTAATTGACTGATTGGTCCAAGTGTGATGTCCTTCAGCTCCCAGCGATGAGACGGGGGAAGGCTGCTTTAGGGAGTGTAAGATGAAGGTGACTGGGATTTGATGAATGTGAGGTCCCTTAGAGCTGGAGGAATTTATGGGGGAAGATCATATTCTGCTGGCTTTGGGCCTCACCTGACAAATTCATTTTTTCATCTCTTCCATCCCTGGGGAAGTACTTAAAACATGTCCTTGTCCACATCTTGAAGAAAATAGTCTCAATAAATTCAAGGCCCTTCTCATTGGTAATTTTCCGCATAATCTCTCAGAAATAGGGGACGGGATATAGATGTTCCTTACTTTACAGCTAGGAGAACAGGCCTGGCTAACTGAGGTCTTCCTGCTCATGTGGCTGATGGTAGAAGCAAGTTCCTTATTGCAACACTGTTTTCCTCTTGGTGCCGGTAGACTATGCGTCAAACTTGTAATCAAGAAATATGCATGACTGCTTTCTTTTCTTTTTTAAAAAACAAACTCAAATGTTTCCTGGGTGATTTTAATGAAGCTGATACCTATCATTTAAAAAAAAAAAAACACCCAAAACTATCCTTTGTAAGTAATCTTCCCTGTTTTCTTTTTTCTAACTTCTCATCTTTAATCCTTTCGTTAGAGCTATGTGGTTTGCAAAGCATTTTCACTTCAATTATCTTATTCCCCACAACTAGCCCTGTGAGGTAGATATTAACTGATACTTGTTACAAATGAAGAAACAGAGGCTAAGTAGCTTTATCATACCCTAAATTCATGCAGCTGGCTACTGGAATCCACGCCTTCCGAGTCCTAGCCCAGTTTTCTTTCCACTTAGATCATAGCGGCTTCCTCTCCTCTCATTTTCTTAATCTTTGCCTCTCTTGCTGTCCTGAGATATTCAGCACCTCCTCTCACCCCTAATCCCATCCAAGTGCTTCTCTACCACTTTGCTTCTTGACAGATGCTAGAAATGTACTTTAGAGTCAATCTCATTTTGGTTTTACCTTTCTAGTTGGTTTGCACATCACTATTTCCCCTGAACTGCAACTAAACTTCCTGGGAGACTTGATCATGACTATAAATCTGCAAGGCACTGTGATCACCAGCCTACTTCAAATCCTCCCCCACTCCGTTTCTCCCCAGAGTCCCACAGGGAACCCAGACTCAATGTGCATTGTTTTAGAAGCTTTATCTGCACGCTGTTCTTATTAAAGGGCTTAGAAATGTTCTCAAGGGCTATTATCACTTTAGGGCCCCAATCCATTGCCTTGGTGCTGGATACTTCCCATGACTGATCCTCAACAACACAATTCTCTAAAGGCCAAGCTAGGCTGGGTCTCACTGTTCTTTTCCAACTGCTTAACAGCCATGAACTTGATTGCTCAACTCAGTTGGCCGCTTGAGCACTCTGACCTAGTGACCTCCAATTGTTAGCCAGTACTGTTAGCTTGTAGATTACTGCCCCAACCCTGTGTGGAAACACCTCGGCAGCCAGTGCCTGTCCCCACCCCAAACTTCATTTCCAGTCTGTTTAAAAGCGTTATCCTTTCTAGTTTCCCTGTCCCCGCTTACACACCCAGATTTCTGATTCTCTGAGTTCCTGGTTTCTCCTCAGCCAAACTAGAAATGTTAGTAGGAAAGGAATTTTTCAAAGCAGGAATATGCTGGGAATACATGTAGAGCAGTGAATGGTTCAGAGACAGTAGCCCCTCCCCCAAAACTACTAGGTCAAATTGGAAAACACAGCCATCTCGGTTTGTGGACCCACCCGATGTGACCCAGAGGGCAAGGCTAAGTACTGTAAATTGCTTCTCTGCCGGAAGAGGCAAGGGCTAGACACACCTCAGATACTCTTATCTTGGTTCCCCTTTCTCAAGTTAATATAGAAATGGAAGAATAAAACAAACCAAAAAAAGCCTTCCTCTGACCACATTTTATAAATGAAAGCTCTCCAATGCAGTGAATGCATCTAGTCCCTGCACGCATATGCGAATAGTATCTGGTGTGGTCATCATGCTGGTCACCCATTCAACCCACTGTTGAATCACCCACTGTGTCTAACACCCGCCTAGACCCTCAGTGTGCTCCAGTCTTAGCCTACCCTCACCCAAGACTTTCCTAATCTCTGAGCCTTTACTGCCCGAGATAACTCCTTTGGTTTCCCCTTTCATGAGTTCATAGGAGGGCCCAGGAGATAAGCACTTTAAGCAAGTCCTGAGTTACACAGATCAGACTCCACCCCCATCACAGGCCAGCCGCGTCTCAAAGCCGGTAACGCCATCCTTTGTCCCCAAGTCTCCCAGTCGCAATGCGTGTGATGGGGGAGGCTACTGAAGGACGAGAGTTCGGTGTGTGAAACACCGTCAAACACAATTAGCAACCTTAGTGTCTCAACCGATGGAACTCTTCAAGACACATGTTGCTTCTTGATTTTGCACAGCCCATATTTTCCTGAACTCTAGAAATGTTGCTGACCGCCCAAGCTCTTGACAACTTAACACTAGTTATGTAGTATTTTTCAGAAAACTCCCTGTTCATGTCAATAAAGTCTCTCTAAACACGGGGTGCTCTGGTTTCCCTCTACTAGTCTAAAGTGTGTGTGTGTGTGTGTGTTAAGTCTACTACGGCCCCTTCATGCCTTGCCAGCCCGCATCAGTTCCTCAACTCACAGCCAGTGCATTTATGCCCATGGAATAAAAAATACATTCAGTAGTCTGGAATTAATCATACAATAAATGTGCGACCTGGCCTCGTATGTCCCCCTTTCTTCCCTACTCAAACACAAAGGAATCCAAGACTCACTTGTGTTCTCACCTGCCTGACATCGAGCAGGTGGCCAAGGGCTGACTACAAGGGGGGCCTAACGAAGGGAGGGCCGCACGCCCCTACCGCTCTCTGTAAACGGGGCCACGAAGCACAGCTGCCTCCCACTGCCCGTCTCCCCGGAAGTGCCAAGGCCCCGCGGGGAGTGTTCAGAAGACTGGCCTTGGGATTCATCCGTAGTCTGCCACACTGTCCTACAGTATCAAAAGTACTGACTGACAACGAAGTCAAAAATGATCTCAGTGTGGTACCAGCCACTACACTGAGAAACACACCCACACATTTTCTATTCTCTCTGAATACTGCTGCTTGGAGTGGTGAAGGGGGCCCACGCTCACACAGCTGGGCAACCGTGACGATGCACTTTGTACTCAGGTCTGACTGCAAAACCTCTCGCCCGTCCCAGGTTTCCCGGCTGCCGCCCTGCCCTGGACAGAAAGTCCTCGAAGCTGGGAGGATCCCGACGCTGTGTGGGCGGCCGTGCACACTGGTGTACGTGGGCCTCCCCACAAACGCTCCCACAGCTGGGGAGACCAGACTCACTCGGGACAACGGGCACCGAAGAATCAAGCAATAAACACACACACGCCCTTTATTATTTCAAGTTCAATACTTTTTTTCTTTTAATTCATACTGTCCTTCCGTGGCTCTAGCTACTTTACATTAAGATTTGGCTGGGAAGCCTTGCATGTTTCTAGGTACTAGCAGTAAGTTTTCAGACCTTGCGCACAGCGCCAGGCAAAGTACAGTTACAGAGCCAGGTCCAGGTGGCCAGAACACTCAGCTGCAGTCCACCCGTGTCCTTTCCCACACATGGCTGGTGCCGGAGTCAGGGCTGCTCCCTCTGCCTCACCCCACGCACCCCATGTCAGAACTCCCAGGGCCACGCGGCCTCTGCCCCATGCCCCCCCGCCGTGGCGTCTAGGCTGAGGGGTGGTCGGGGAGCAGCACCATGGGTTTGGGAAGAAGCTCTGGTCCATGCAGAGAGTGGTCTGGCCCCAGAGTGTAGCACAGGGAAATGTTCAGAGACACACACTATTGTTGGCAAAAATGGTTGCTTGTACTATGCAATCTCAGCACGTGGCACCCCAGCCCAGGGCCAGCTCCCCGACACAGCCAGCTGTCTTGCCCGGAACAGAGGCCACCGAGTTGCTTCTGCAGGGTCTCACTGTGTCGAGAAGCAAGGAGGCGCGGGGCACAGAAGACAATGCTCTTGATGCCTTCCCGTGTCGGGTGGACCAGGCAGACGCTCTGGCCTCCGCTCCTCCTGCCGGGCAGGCGCGTGCTCCTCGCCAGCAGCTGCGGTTCCCGCCGGGCTCCCAGGCTTGCTGAGGATCTCAAGTCACAGCAGAAAACAATGCCCACGGCCTCTGAGCTGTCTCACAGACCAAAACAGAGGGCTGGCTGGGCCCCGGCCCGCCGCGGCCGGGCAGGAGTGAGGTAACAAGGCTGGGCACAGAGGGAAGGGCGGCTCTCTACAGCATGCGCAAGCTCCTGCTCCACACCGGGGAAGCAGGGGCGTTACACGCTGGCCATCCAGAACATGCTCCTCTTGGACCCAAAACGCCTCTTCTGGAAGAAAACGTAGAGGTGGAGGAGAATGGGACCAGCCTGGTGCAGGTTGGGAATGAGGGTCAAAGATGTCAAGTGGTGGATGGGGCGATGTCCCACGGCCTACAGACAAGGGCGGGGTGGGGGAGGAGCCCGCTGGGAGCAGGGGTTCTCAAGTTTGCTACTGGAGTGGGCAGGCAGAGCTAGGCGGTACGAGGAGGGGGTCACAGCCCTTCCATCTGGGGGACCAGAGAGGAGTGCTCTTTCTTCTGGGGGTGGGGGGGCAGGGAGGAAGGGCTGGCTTTTTACTACCCTGCAGAGATAAAGCAACAGTCCAGTATGGCACAGAAAGAATCCTCCTCAGATCACACACAGTCGACAGAGACTCTTCCCCTCGTCCTTTCTCCAAGACTTCACCCGAGCGGTGCTACCAGCGACTATAGTAGACACGGTCCAAGCGTGGGTTGGGGACAGGGGCAGGGAGAGGATCCACTTCTGGCAAAGCATTTCTCTGGAGGTTTCTCGGTGCACCCCCACCCCACGCCCGTAATCCCAGGTTCTTAGTGCTATTGCTCTAAGGCAACCCAAGGGGACCGCCCAAGCTTTGCACTTCATCCAAATCCCAACAAGGTCTGGGTCGAGCCAAAAGAGAACTGCTAGAACCAGGAGTGAGTTCTCGCCACTGTTTTTTTCTAGCAAGGAGGAGGAGGACAGATGAAAGGCTTCACAGCCTAGGAACGGAAGACATGGCGCCCTTCCTGCTGTTACCCTTTTCTCCCAGCTTAAAGGACACCCCGCGGACGGCCCCTCCCCAATCTAAGATGAGGCAACAGAGGAGGAAACGCCGTCTTAGGTTCACACTGAGCAATGCAGTAAGCCTCATCTCTCTCTCTGCCTCCCCCCGCAGACCTCCCCCGTCCCCGTCCCCCACACTGCATCTTACTGGGTCTCCCCAACCCTCCAAGCTCATAAAAAAGAAAGTTGAACTACCCTTAATTTCCTGGGAACCCAGACACTGTCCTTCCACTCACCTAAACACCAGGAAATGTCTAGCCCAGAAGGGGACCTTCAAGTCTAAGAAAGCCCAGCCTTGCAGGGCCTGGTGGAGCCCCCAAGGCAATGCCAAGGCCAGGACCTACACTAGAGATTGGCTGGGCCATCCCTGTCCTGCTGCAGATGCGGACGCTGGAGCTCAGAGAGGCGCAGGGGCTTGTCCCACCGCGGAGCCGGGACACAGGCCCGTCTCCTGACTCTCGGCTCGGCGCTCTTACAAAGAGCTTCCAGTTGCCTAGGGTGCTTTCCCCTGTACCAGGCGGGTGGAAGGGGAAAGGGGAAAAGTTGCGGACCAGTCTTGGTCATTCCTCCACAGTGAGCCGGGGAGGCGGGGGGTGTAGGCCCTGCAGCGGTCCTTCGCCTGGGAGGAAACTCTGCAAAATCTCCGAAACTGAGGACCAGCTCTCAGGTGTTTCACCACCGGAATCCTCGCACAAAGACCACAAGTTCCTACATGAACAAAACCAAGAAGCAACGGCTGGAAGAGAAAACCTAAGGGGGATGGTGTGATGCTCCTTGCACAGCTACAGGTTGCTGAACGAGGTAGCAAAGCTTTGTTTGGGAACGAATAGAGTTGATTTTTGAAAACGGGAAAATAGAACAGTGGATCCCTGACGCTTAGAAACGAGGCGGGCCGAGGGGCGTTTCCCACGGGCACACACCCTCTCCTGGTTCGAATCCCCAGAAATTGCGGGGGTCCCTTGAGCAAACTGAGCACTGCTTCCCTGTCGCCTGCTCTTCCCTGGGACGGGCCTGACAAGTCAGGTAAAAGCACAACATCTGTGTAGCCAGGGCAGCTCCCGTCACTGGACTCCCAGGAAAGAACCCTTTTTCAGTCACACCGAAGCCCCGCCTGGGCCCTTTATTGATGGCATGATTTAAATAAATAAATAAATAAATACGCATGGAATAAATTAGAGAATTTACCACTTTTGTCTTTAAAAGTTTCTGGGAATAAGGTTGGCTTCTGGTTACTGCAACAGGAAGGGTTCTGCGGCCTGCACCGTCCCTCCTGCTCTGGCTCAGGCCCTGCGCCTGGACGTCCCGGGCCCCCCACGCCGAGGCCTGGGCGGGGCCGCTGCCCCGGGGCACTCGCACCTTTCGGCTCCTCCGCAGCCTTCATGCCCCGAGTGGGGTGATGACAGTCCAGCCCTCTCCTGGGGAGGGACACACTTTCCGCGGCTCCCACGAAGCCTCCTCGTACTACTCCCCGGGGCGTGCCCTGGGCACGGATGTCGTTGTTTTCTCATCCCGCCTGTGTGGCAATAGCAAGGCTGTGTTCTCAGAGAGACGGAAAAGTCAAAAGTGTGTCCTTGTCACAGAGGGATGCTCAGGCCATTCCAAGAGAATACACATGGCTCTTCCTTTGGGCTCCATCGGTGATAGACTTTCCCTTTCCTCCGCACCTTGCATCGAGGGCCCGACTAGAAGAGCACGTGCGCGGGAGGGGCTCCCCTCGCCAAGCGGGTGTGGCCCTTTCCCGATGGGGGAACCTCGGGGAGCTCCACCTGCGGCGGGCAGGAGTCCTTTGGTTACTAGATGGACAAACAGCAGTCAGTATATGAAGGACAGCAGGCGCGCCCAGGAGGGTCCCACAAAGTCAGATCAACGCACGGATCCCAGGGAGCCAGCCCTGGAAGGGCCCTGGATGACACACGCTTCTTTCTGAGGTCTTCTTTCTGCTCCTCGGTGATATACATCTGAGCGCTCTGGTACGGACCCTAACACTTCCGCTCCCTCTGCCAGAACTCCATGGCTGAGCAACGGCGGGTCTGCAACAGCCCGTGGGGGCAGGGACTCCATCGGGCTTCTTCAGGCCCCAACACGTGCACCTTGGCCAAACCCTTCCCTCCAAGGGCTGAGGTCCTCTTCCAGGGGCCAAGTGCCTGGCACAGTCGTCTCCCTTGCCTAACGTTGGCGCTTCACCGAGAGTAAACGTGGGGACCGGCGCCCGCTACGCTCACGGCCTTCTCCCTCAGACCCCACGGCCCTGCACTGCTAGGGCGCTCACTCCCCAACCCTGGAGCTCCTACCACACCCTGGGTTGCCCTGGGAATCCAGCTGGCAGCTCAAAGTGAGGAATTAGAGCCTAGACCTGACTGCTTCTAACCACTAGACCAGTTTAGCAACAAGATCAAAAATGCTTCCCCCTGGCTAAGAAACAATGTGCTCTTAGGGCACAGAGAAAAAAATAGGGCTTTAGGCACTAGAAAGTGACTGCCTCCCCCAGATCCAGCCTGGGGGAAGACCAGAGAGAAGGGGGTGGGGGAGGGAAGGTAAGAAATCCCCAGCCCTTATTGGTCCGCACCCTACACAGGTCAGAGGGAGGTGCGGGGCTGGTGGAGGAGAACGTCCTTCGTGCGCAAGTCCCAGGGAGCCAGCAGCCGCAGACCCCAAACCTGCCCGGGCGGCCCTTCGAGCTCCCAGCAGTCCTCTCCGCCTGCCCCGCGGCTGTGCTCACGAAGGGGCGGCCTCCCGGGGGTGGTTAGACTGGGCCCCTGCCCTTGCTCCTTCCTTCTTCCCAAGAGAACCCCTGCAGAAGCGTGAGGTGGGGAAGGAAAGGTTCTCTTCTACTTTGGAAACAAACCCAAAGGGGATTTGGGAATGAAGCACCTTAAGCAATGCCCCCCTAGAGACTTCTTTTTCAAGACCCCAGAGCCTTCACAGGCATGACTTTGGCTCAGCAACATTCCCCTTCTCAGAGCCAAGCATGGCAAGGGGAGGGGAGGGGACAGGAGGGGGGAGGGAGGCGGCGGGTCGGGGAGGGTGGTGCTGAGAGGCGGTCCCTGCCCCCCTTGGCCCTCCGCCGGCCAGCACAGGAGGCGATCCAGCTCCTTCTCCCTGGTACATAGGCATGATCTCTTTTTAAAATCTGTATATAATATATATATTTATATTCTGTATATATATATATTTATATATATATATATTTATATGGTCTATGTACACGTATTGCACAGGCCTCTTGCCGCCGCCCTGTTCCTGCCTTGTCAATGATAGCGGCTCCTCTTCTCTTCACTTTCTGATGTGTAGTCGCGGGTCCTGATGCCGTTCTGAAGATTGATGAGTGAGTCCTTCATCTGTAAGACAGGGAACCCGCCCCCCGCCGGGGGTGTGCCTTCAGTGGGCTTCTCTGTGCAGCAGCCCCCTCTATGCCCGGCTATGGCAGGGCCCCCCGCGCCAGGGCCCCCGAGGGGGCTCGGCTCCTAACCCAGGGGGGTTCTCTGGGGACACAGTCTTGTGCAGAGAGGCACGGCCAGTCGAGCGCTGAGGGCTCGCTGTGTCTCAATGACCGTGGCCCTTCTATCACTGAGGTTTAAGAACCCTCAAAGCGGTCCATTGCTACAAGGAGCCGCATCAGAGTGCCACGTACTTGGCCTTGTACTCATTCCACCTGGTTTCCCACGAACCCAACTGGACCGTAGTCCTTGTACCCTGCCTTTGTGCATTCTGCCCCAGCTCCCCTCCAGCCCGGGACTCGTCTCTCTTGCTATCCCACGCTGGCCCACCCGGGAAGGCCCAGGGCCGAACCCAAGCTCTCTCCGGCTCCCAGTCGTCCTTCTCCTCCTGGGCTCTCACACACACGCCACTCACTAAACCCGAGGCTACAGCGTGTCATACTCTTAGACACGCCGGGTGCCACGCAGAGAACGGAGTAGGCTTCTAGCTGTGTCTATACCACTGACTTAACCTTAACGAATCTCCTAAGCTCCTTTGAGAAACGGACACATCCACGTTGTTAGGCTATGGGACAGTCTGATGGGGCAGCCGTCGAACGGCCCGTTGCACGCAGCACGCCTCGGTGCCGTCCCTGAGCAAACCACGCCGTTGCAGCGCAGCCGAGCGGCACTTCGTGGGTGACCAGCTGCAGAACCTCTGGGTTCTCTGCCTAACTGATCACTTCCTTCCAGGTTATTCTCTATCCTTTGCTTAAGAGAGACACAGGGCTCATTGCTGTTCTTTTCAATGTTACTTTCAAAGGTATGAAAACAAAACACCTGTCGGAATCTGGCAGCTCCAACTCAAGGGGACCCGCCCTGAAACAGAATTGAACTGGGTCATCCATTCCAATTGCTCCCCCCCCCCACTTAATTCATAAGTTCCTTCCTGTGCCCCCGGAAGCACTTTTGGGGATGGGCTCTCAGGCCTTCGGAGCAGCGGGTCCATGGCTGAGGAGCTCTAACCGCAGTAGTCTGCTTTCATTTGATGACTCAGGTATCCAGTTCCCTCCAACGCCCAGCCCTCTGGAGCTGCGCGGGCAGGCTAGCCCATCGGACCTCAACGCCTGCGGCAGCTCTGCTCCCCTCGGCCCGGCCTCCCTGTCCTGAACACAGCTTCCGCCCCACCAGCCCCTCCTGATACGGCAGGGCTCCCACCCTCCTCGCTACGCTCTTTACTGGCTTTCGGTTTAAAATATCCCTCCTTAAATGTGGCTCCAAAGCCAAACATGATGCTCTAAAAACATTACATGAGCTCCCAATGGCAGCGTTGAAACACCCTCTTCTCAACTGAGAGCTATGGCCAAACTATGAAGGGAAAAGAAAAATTAGTATGGATGAGCGCCTCCCAACTGCCTCAAATCCTGACGGCAATTTCATGGAGCACAATTATAGCTCCCACATTGTAAGTGAGGAAGCTGAAGGTCATGACTATCAAATCCCTTGCTCACGGTCACAAAGCTCCTCAGGGGCAAGGTTAGGGTTCCACCTCTGGGCTGGCTGACTACAAACATCAGAGAGAAACCCCTCGGGGACAGCACTTCTACTGGAACTGAGCCAACCCTGGGGCTCCTGTCCTTCTCTTCCGCATCCGGCGGTCCCTTCCGCCATCTTGGCAACCACATGGGAGCTTTTCACACACGTTAAATTTTTCCGGGGAAGCAGAAGCTGCCTTCCTTGACAAAACCAAGCTGATTACTAATTTTGCCCCAGAACGATTTTTGCAGAGAGATGCATCTATTTTTTAGAAGGACTCAGGCAACAGCGCTGGGAAGAAGGTATTAGGAAAAGAAGACACAGCATGGCCGCCCTCCCAGGCTCTCAGCGCAGCCTGCAAGAGCGCCCCTTGGGGGCGCTGTGTTGGTGGGCAAGCGCTGAGTGTGGGGCGGCGGGGCGCATGTCACGAAGATTTAGCAAACATGCTCTCTGGGAAGACAGTTCTCTGCAAAAAGGGGGCTCTCTCTCCACATGCCTGTCATACGGCAACAGGTGGCCAAAAAAAAAAAAAAAATTCTCCCTCCACCTAACCTATAGCTTTCCTGCTACAAATCCAGGGTATTGTTCTATTATTGTGGGGGGACACACCTGTATTTCCAACAGCTCCCTCAAGGATGGCTTTAAAATCAGAAAAATGGGTGGCCTAAGGACAGAATGAACGGAGGGGGCGGGGCTGGCGAGCTCAGGGCACAAGGGAGGAGTTCCAGCTCCAGGTGAGCAGGACGGGGCGGCTGGGCGGAGTCTCACCTGGTCAAGAAGCATCACTGAGGATTTGATGATCTCCCTCCACTTCTGGAGCTCAGTGTCGTGGTACTTCTGCTGGGACTCTAGGAGCTGGGCCCATTCCGTGTGAGACTGGGGCAACCTATGGGGCGGCAGAGGGGGCAGCCCGGCAGCGGCAGTTAGGCTTGGCAGCCTGTCCCGTGCTCCCAGACCCCTGAAGGACAAAGAACCACATCAGGGCACTCTGCCCTCTGCGCACTGCCCCTGTGGTCTGTGCCCTGAACCAAAAGCAGACTAAGGCTACGTGCGCAGTTCTCAGAGCTCGTTCACGGACTCATCCCTAGGGGCTATGCCCCGGCCCAGGGCAGTGGGGCTGTTCCCGAGGTGACAGGGAGACAGGAGTGAGGGGGTGCCGGGGGGAGGGAGAGTGGGGGCAAGCGGGGGAAGAGGCCAGGATTACCTTTCTTGGAGCCTCAGGCCCTGCCAGGCAGTGAGGGTCTGGGTGGTGTACTCCAGCATCCAGAGCTTGTAGAAGAGCATCACGTTGAGCAGGACCAGCAGCACCAGGCTGGGGAGGAGACAGGGGTGGGCGGGCGACAGCGACGAGAGGCCGCCTGAGAAAGCGGGCTTCCTCGCGGAGCCAGAGCACCCCCACCCCGGCGCCGCTGTCCTTGACCAGCGGGTCACAGGAAACATTGCAATGAGCGAGCAAGTGAGCGGAGGGATGCAGCAGGGGCAGAGGGGGGGAGCGCTCTAATCTGCAGGGGTCAGACCAGGACAGGAGGGCTGTGGTCAGGGGTCGGGGCGAGGGCACCGGAAAGGAGAGACGCACAGAAGTCACCCAGACTCTGAGCGCCTGCGGGAAGCGAGGTTAAGATGGAGAGGAAACGAGATGAGTGTGTAAAAGAGCCAGTACCTGAAACAGATCCTAATGGGAGCAGGGAGGAAAAATGGGGAGGCGGCAGGTTAGAAAACAGACTCGTGGGGGGAGGGGCGAGCTGCACTTGAACTGAGCCAGGAGAGCCTCTGAGGAAGGAACACGGGGGCAGAGACACGCGGGCGGGGCCCAGCGAAGGAGCAGCAGAGACAGCTGTACAGGGCTCCCTGGGTCTCAAGGGCGACACACCGAGGTGAGAGTCCTCCACCAGCCCTCGCCCTGGCCGGTGTGGCTTGGCTGGTGGGAGCGCCGTCCCTTGAACCGAAAGGTCACTGGTTCGATCCCCAGTCAGAGCACGTGCCTGGGCTGAGGGTTCAGTCCCCAGTTGGGGCGCGTACGAGAGGCAACCCATTGATGTTTCTCTCCCTCTCTCCCCCCCTTCCTTCCTCTCTAAGCATGTCCTCAGAGGAGGATTTAAAAAAAAAAGATTCTTTCAGCAACCCCACATTAGGACACAACTGTAAGAGGAGCTCAGTGGGATTCCTAGCTCGGCCCTGGTGAGCCCTCCAGACATTGGCAGAGCCGCCCCGAAGATGCAGCCTCCTCCTTGCACCTGCCGCAGGCCCACAGGGCCACCAGGACCACCCAGGGCCGGAGGACCCGGGGGGGAATGGAGAGTCCCGGAGAGACGGGGAATTCTGTGCTCTCAGCCTCAGCGGCTGCCTGAACATCATTCTGTGGCAGTTCCCGGATGAGGAGAGGAAGACTCAGGTAAACAGAGGCTGCTACAAGTCCTGGCTCACCCCTTAGAAAGTTTAACTTCTGATCCAGTTTGCGAGCTTCTCTGAAACCCAGCTCGTGCCACTGGACAGTGAGAGGTAGCCTGAGACAGCGGGGCTGTTCCGTGGGTCACAGGGGTGCACATGACGCACCCCACACCCCGAGGCCCCCCGCAGCAGGCGGTTATCTCCTGCACAGAGTAACTGCTGAATCAACGCAGGAGGTTCAGGCACACATTGGGGGAAATGACAACGGGAAGGTAAAGGAATAGATGGAAAAAGACCAACAAAGAAAGAAAATCTTATGCTGTACCTTCGACCTTACAAAGTGTGTGTAGTGTAGTGTAGTGTGTGTGTGTGTGTGTGTGTGTGTGTGTGTGTGTGAGAGAGAGAGAGAGAGAGAGACAGAGAGAGATGCCGAACTTCTCACCTGTGCTTCTAATTGGCACCTGCACATCCCTGAGGCTACTCAGCGGTGGTCTCAGGGCACTCAGTTCTCCACAAGAATCTGTAAATTGTGTGCTGAATGCCAATGATTCTGTCTGCAATCCCAGCAGCCCACACTTTTAGCAGCTGCTTCTGGGTTTGTGTTAACAATCCTCTCTGTGCTCAGTGAGGTCAGGGGACACCTTGCCTCCTGCGTGAGCGAAGGCTCAGGAGTGGCCTACCCAGAGACAATGTGGTCACGGGCAGGCACGTGGTGGCTCGGGCCGGCCAGACGAGGGACAACGGACCCTTACAGTCCACCCGCACGCATGCATCAGCAGACACCCCTGGACCTGCTGGTGCTGACTGATGAGGCCTGACCACCGTACAGCAACAAAGCCCCGAAGCTCATTAATAGCACGTGGTGCAGCCGCTCCAGTGAGCGGGCCTTCTCTACTTAAACAACTGAAAATGCAGAAAGAGGTCAACACAGAACTAACCCGTGGTTGGCTTTCCACCTACCAAACCCAACCTCGGAGATTTAAATTTTAGCAACCACTTGAAAGTGAGGATGCCAAAAGTGAATTTTACTGGTTTTACAGTTGTCTTTATATTTAATTTTGTAAAAATAGTTGGGCTCCTTATGCCATATTCAGAAGAATTTTACACCTACTTCCTTGTTACATGGGTGGGCAAAAGTAGGCTTCCAGCTGTCCGTGGGGCAGGCAGGCAGGTTGGTTAGGATTGTTATAGGGCTTTTTCAACTCGAAGAACGTCCCAGGGCAGCTGCGAGCCTACTCTTGCCGCCCCTGCATCCTGAGTAAGGTAAAGCAGCAGGCCACCCTCCTTCCTCACGGGCTCCTGGGCTCCAGTGGCCCCAGGTCTGTCCGCGCCACACTGTCTTCTCACCCCTGTGCCTTCCCCTGGTGGCCTCACGCCCACAGCTTCCGTGCCCCCTGTAATTCACTCTGCCCCTGCAGCCTGCACTCTCCACAGCCCCAGGACCACACCAACAGCTGTCCCCACCGTGCCTGCGTTTGGATAACCTACAGCGACGCAGAGACACCTGCACTGACAGCGTCTTCTCTGACGACTTCTCACTGAGGTCCAGGTCTCTGTTCCTGACGCAAACCGTCTGCAGAGCCGGGAACCAGTAAGCCTTCCTCCTCCCCCACGTAACCAGAGGTCACGTCTCTGACTGGAGGCCCCTCACGGCAGCCCGGCAGCCGCTCTCGCCTGCTTCACGGCAGTTCACGCCTGCTCACGCCCTGCCTCCATGCCTTCCTCGTCGACTTCACACCCCATCGCGCCCCCGCGAGGCCGTGCCCAGAAGCTGCCAGCCGCGTTGCTGCAGGGCTCTTCCCGCGTGTCCTGAGGCTGGGCCGGGGGTGGGTCCCAGCAGCCCTGCTGATGCTCCCACAGGCGGGCGCCTGGGCGGCGCCTGCCCCCCGCCTGCCCGTGCCCCCCTTCTCACGTGCCCCGCTGTCCAGGGAGGGCTGGGCGGCAGGCAGGGGAAGTGGCTGCCCCCGGCCCACATATGCAGAAGTCCTGGGCAGCCTGTGGCCTCTCAAATCAGACGGGCGTGTCCTCCCGCCTCGTGCCTTTGTCGCTTTCAACGGGCTTTCTGCGCAGCCCAGCACCCTTCCGTGCACACTGCTGAGCCTGCAGCTCTACAGCATTATGGTAATTGTTATCAACCGTTTATGATAAAATAAGCATACACCTTTCCTGGGCTGTACTGATGGATTTTGCCTGGCTGCCCTGCAAGGAGGGGCCCATGAGGGCACAGTCCTCATTCCTGGCACAGAGCAGATGCCCAGAACGCCTTTCACAGACGAATGAATGGGCTCCTAAAATGCTCTGGAACATTTCTACGCTAGCCTCTGTGCACTGGTGTAGTAATTCTGGATTTCCTGTCTGGGTCACCCACACGAGGCTGAGTTCCTGAAGGGCCTGAACGCTGCATGCAGCACTTTCTTCTGAATCCTGGACACCTAGCACAGAGTAACTGCTGAATAAAACACAGCACACGAAGCAAAGAGGCGAGACAGACAGAGCACCTGGTTTGGAGAGAAGACTAGGGGACGACAGTAAGGGCGCTCGTACGCCTGGAGAGACCGGGAGCAGGCGCAGGCAGGAGCGGAAGGCGGGGGCAGGGTGGGGAGCAGAGCGCAGTCCCTTACACACAGCTGATGACCAGCAGCAGCTTGGACACGCTCTGCAGGTGAAAGCCGTTGGCGGTGTCCTCAGGGACATGCCGGGTCTGCGTGGAACCTGCGGGGAAAATACAGAGGCTGTTACCGCCAACGGCTGATGGGACACGGGTCATGCACAGAACCTCAGGGAATGACAGAGAACCGTCCACAGTGCTATCACGACACCAGTGTCATACCCAGCCTTCCCAAAGTGAAAGGCAAGATCCTCAAGGGCAAGGTCTTGGGTTGGGTCAGGCACGGGGAATATTAAAGTCCCCGGACAAGTAAGAAGTCAGACCTCCACAGCTAGAAGGGGAGCCACGCTGCGCTGGGAGCAGGTGCAGCTTTCAGCTCTGGCCCTCGCCACACCAGCGACAAGAGGCCGAGAGCCACCTAACGGCTCTGAGAGCCAGTTTATCCAGTGCACCATTGTCAGAAATCCTCTTGTGGGAGCTGCGGGAGGGACACCGAGTCCGGTGGCTGGCACTTCCTGCTCTGTTCCTGCCTCCTCTCCGGTCCCACCCAGCTCGGCGGACCCCCAGGTGCGGGCACGACACAGTGAGAAAAACATCGGATGGGCTGGCCCCTGAGGCCTCTTATCGCTGCCTCCATGACTGAGGAAGGACGTGAGGTGGTGAATGCCCGGATGGGAAGAGGGAGATACATCAAGGGACCCCACCACCACGAGAGCCGGCAGCGGGCGGAGGGAGGGGGCGGCTTTGGACTCCCTGATCTTTGTGCGCCAAGGAAATCTCTGGGGGCCGGGCTCCGGCTCCCCCAGTGCATTCCCCAAGAACTCGGAAGCTGCACACACGAGCCTGTCCAGGTGGACCTGGAGCTCAGGCGGTGCGGGGGCGTAGACCCCCAGGCAACATTTGCCCAGCGGGCACACAGCCGGGCTCCCCAGGGGCTGAGGAACTTAAAGGGCAAATGGAAACAGGAAGAGCACCCAGAGCCTCAGGTGTAGCGAGCCACGTGCGACTCACATGCACTCTACCTTGAAGCGTGCAACTAGCACAGGCCTGCGGCTCCAGCCCAAAGGCCCGGACACGCCCGTCGCCCCCACCTGACACCTGGCACACACCTGCCACGTGCTTGATCCTGCGGCCCACATCTTCATCAGTGGGGGTGGTGACGGGGCTCATCACCTCCTCCAGGTGCGGCCCCCGCAGGTGGGCGTGGGGGCGCTTCCTCCTCCGCACGGCTGGGGGCTTGCTGGCCTTCTCTTTGGGAGACTGCCTGTGCATCTCAGCCAGGTAGGTGCTCTCCACCTTGGTCAGCTCGCTCTCTGTCCGGGGCAGAAGGGCCGCATCAGAGGCTCCCCACCCGCCCCCCAACCCAACACCCTGGCCTCCAGGAGCTGTTCCGTCGCCTCCCAGCTGGGGTCTCCCTAAGGAGAGCACCTTCTGGGGTGCGCTCGGGGAGGCTGTCGGGGATGGCAGGGTCCCTGGGAGATGCCACGAGCCTCGGCAAGTCCCGCAGGGACCGGGCCAGCCCACGCCCGTCTTCCGGGCTGTCCACCGTTGTGCAGGAGCCTACGTTCTTGACCTCAGCATCCACGTGTACACAACTCAGGGCGCACCCGTTTCCTGCGGGACGCGTTCACAGCGGAGCCCTTTGCGTAGCACTTAACACCAGTGCGGGCAGAACTGAGGTTCATTCTGGGGGTCGGGGCGCGGGGGAGCCAGGGGTCCCCTAACACTCTTGTCAAAGTTACAGGCGCCGTGTCTGGAAAAATGCCCGCGTTCACATACGTGGCGAGTTTTGTCTCCACTGCTGGGGCGGACTCAGGGGCCCCCCGACACTCCTCCTGTCTCGGCCTCCCCCCAGGTCGTTCTCCCCAGCCCCACGGCCTGCCAGTGGCGAGGCCGAGGCTCACCTAAGTGCCGGAAGTAGTCCTCCAGCCCACTCCAGAAGTTCTTCTCGATGAAGGTCTTCACCAAGCCCCAGGGCTGCTTGCGATAGCGCAGCTCCGTGGAGACCCTGAGGAACAGGCCAGAAGCAAGGTCAGCCGGGCCACCCTCCTCTGCTGGGAGAAGGTAAATTCGGGTTCAGGCCCAAAGGGGCTCCGGTTGGCGCTGCCCTTCAGGAGGTAAGAAGTCCTTTCCCATCCATCTTATCCCCATCCCGTGTCCAAGGCCACCCTCTGAGGCCTATGGAAGTAGCGGGTTTGTCCTCATTTCCCACGTAGCAACCTGAGTTTTAGAGCACTTAAGCAGACCAAAGGCTGGCGACAAGGGCCTACAGTCATTTCACGACACCCCGCTGCCTCCTCCCAGCGGGGTCCCATGGTGCCAGGGGCCCACCCACCGCAGGGCCCTTCTCCTCTCCTCGAGAGGCCCCTGCGTCTACGTCCGGCCCTGGCTCTCATCACGCCCGCTTTGCGGAGCAGCGGCGGCTCCTGGTCCGGGCTCCCGCGGCTCCTGTGCCTGCTCCGCCCCCAGCTCCTGCCTTTTCCAAGCCTCCCCTCACAGCAAGGAGTCCCTCCTGCGCCGGTGTCAGCGGGTCCTTGCTCTCGGCCTCTCCGCAGTTCCCACTGGCCCGCCCGCCTTCCCGTTTGTGCTCCCCACGTCCAAGGCCAGCTGCCCCGCCCTCGCCTCCTTCCCCAGGGACACCCGCTCCACCGCCCCTCCCCCAACCCACCCCATCTCCCGCCCAACAACTGTTTGCTGGGCTGAGGGTGGGCACCCTCTGTCAGGGTCGATCTGAGTCAACAGGCCACCTCTGTGTGAAATGGACAGGAGGGGCACCCAAGCAGAAGCCCCTCCAGGGAAGCTGGAAATGAAAAACCCAACACTGTGGGCGGGAGGACGGGGCAGGAGGCAACGGGAGGGGTGGAAACTAAAGGAAGAGAAGAAGGCAGGAAGGGAGAGTAACCAAAAACAAAGTCTTTTCTGACAATGACAAAGATGCAGGTCCCCTTTGAGGTGTGGGCATTCAGCTCTTCCTGGTTCCCAAGAGAGCTCTCTGTAGCCTTTCACAAAACACCTATTTTACTTTATCTACATGAGTGAGTTCCGCTCCGTACCACCACAAGAACTTGGTCTAAGGTACAGGTATTCACACCAGTTCCTTCCAAATGGGTGGGATGTCCAGTGGATGTCTTGACTTTTCAGATTACAAGATTTTTTTTTTTTCCTTTCATTGATTTTAGAGAGAAGAGAGGAAGGGAGGAAGGGAGGGAGAAACATGGATTTGTTGTTCCACTTGTCCACGCATTCTACTGGTTGCTTCCTGCATATGCCCTGACCGGGGATTGAATCCACAACCTTGGCCTATCAGGATGGCGCTCTAACCAACTGAACTCCCTGGCCAGGGCTCAGATTAAAAGCTTCTTACAATTTCGGAGTCTAAGTTTCTTCCTTCCTTGAATGCACAGCACAGCGCCCAGGACAGGACTCTACCCACAAACAGAATCCAATCTTTCCTTTGCTCATTGAAACAGTGTCTGCCTCCGATGTGCACGGGCTTGTGCTGAGTGGTGAAAACAAGGTGGTGAGTGGGCGGGGCTTCCCACGCGCCAGGCGCGCACTAACAGGTGGATGAGCAGCAGTCACGACCCAGGAACCCAATGCACATGGTGTGGCGCAAAGAGCTCAGGCTTGCGTTTCTACACCTGGATGTCAGCCCTTGCTGGGGACATGACTCTCGGCCAAGTTCCTTAGCCTATACGACCCTCCGTTTTCTTATGTGAAAAATGAGGATTAGTACACCTCCTCCGGTCATTCTAAGGAATGTACTTTAAACACAGCACTGCATCAACTATAGACAATCAGTAAGTGGCAGAAGTTATAAAAGTGGTACCAAAGAGACGTGCAGAGCAGGAAAGAGGACACACGGCAAAGAGACTGTCAGGATACAGAGGCGGGGGCGGGGTGCCCAGGACGTCAGACAGAGAAGCGAGAGTGGGTCAGCAGGCCCATTTTCTAAGCTCCTCCTCCTTCCTCAGGAGCAAGTGTTCATTCCCAAGTGTAGGAGCCCCATGAACTTCCCTCCAGAAGCTTCCCACAAGCCCACCCAGCCCTGAGACACGGCACCTGAGCCGGCTCTTGTTCCGGGCCACGCGTGTGAGCGTGTAGCGGTTGATGGTGTAGAAGTAGTCGTGGTACGGCACGTCGTGGGTGAGGACCTCCGCGTCGATCACGTAACACTCACTCTCCTGGCTCGCCTTGTACATAGTCTGTGGGAGGAAATGCCGCTGGACACACGCGAAGAGAAGCCGACGGCAAGAGAACCTCCTTCCCCAGTTGCCCCACCCGACCCCCAGCTTTGGAAGGGAGGACCCAGAGCCACGTGAGACGCTACCGTTTCAGGGCTAAGCGACGCTTGCACCCAGAACCTTCCTCCTGGCTTCGGCCCCCACCCCGCCCCAGAACGAGGCTCGCCCGGCCCGCGCCACGCACCCCCGCCCCCGCCTCACCTGTGTCTCCCTGACAGTGGCAGTTTTGGGAGCCAGGGGGTTGGTGAGGGTGATGGTGTAAAGGATCACGCGGCTCTGGTTCCCATTCTCTTCCTTCTTCCACGGATGGAAGACGATATCTGAGGGTAGCGAGAGCCCTGGAATGAGCGGGGACAGAGGCGTGCCCTCCCCATGCCGCGCGTCCCCTCCAAGTGAACTTCTCGGGACTGTTCCGAGTGCCCACTGGCCTCCAAAAGGAAGCCAAGGGGGCCGGGGCCGGGGAGGGGGGCAGCTGAGGCAGAAAGAGGCTCATTGTGGCACTGCCGGCCGTCTACACAGGGCTCCTGAACACCGATTGTTCCTGGGCTGGGCAGGAGGTCTCGGGGCCACCTACAGGGTGCTGGCAACACTGGCGCTACTGTGACGAGGGCCTGGGATCCTCGAGAACAAGGGCTCTGCTCTGAGGCATGACCGCCCCGCGCCCTCGGCCTGCCCGCTCCTCCTGGCAGCAGGGGCCGCTGATGCCCAGATGCTCCTTCACAGGCTCAGGCGCTCAGCAGCCCGCGGGGCCAGAGCCACGGCGCCTGCTGGGCGGCGAACAGGGGCAAAGGGATGGGGCAGGGGCCCCGAGGTACAGAGCACGAACTCTGAGGTCCGCAGACCCGGGTCCTGGCCTCGCCCCTTCTCAGGTGCGCGACCTCGGGCCGGTGATCACAGCCTGAGCCCCCGTTTCCACTTGGGCACAGTGTGGGTCACAATGCTCACACACAGCACAGATTTGAGGATTAAATGAGATAATGTCATGTGCCTGGCATACAGCAGTCGCCCCACCAGCAAGTGGTGGCTGCGACTCGTTATTAGACAGTGAGTCCTGGAGGGACTTGGCCTCTGGGAGGCCTGGGCACCGCGGGCAAGCGCCGCCGCGCTGTGGCACTGGGGGAAGGGGCAGCTCGCAGAGCCCCGAGGGAGCCCTGGCACCGAGTGAGGCCTGAGAGAGGCTGCCCCGAGCCATCGGGGGGCCTGCACAGGGAGGGCGCTGGGGGAGAAGGGAGGGCGGCGCCCGCCCGGGGAGGGGCGAACCTGAGAAGCGCCGCTGCTCCATGAAGTCCCGCTGGAAGGGCGAGTCGGTGAACAGGAGGTCATAGAGCTTGTCCACGCTGAAGTTGAAAATTTCATTCACGTACTGCCGGCCACTCAGGTCCTCATAGAAGGCCTGGACTTCCCCTGCACGAGGATGAGGAGCAGGCAGTGACGCAGGGGGCAAGGGACCCTGGGGCAACCCCCCGAGCTCTGTGTCTCTGTGGCTCAGGTGGGAAGGGCCCAGGGAGGCCAGGGAGTGGGCGTGGGGGCCGCTGAGCCCCGTCCACCCTTCTGACAGGCTCACCGCTGACTCCAGAGGTGGGCCGCTCATGCAGCCTTCACAGAGTTTGCGGACGCGCTACCTGCTTTTCCACTCTCAGTCCTCCCTCGTTAAGGTGACCTTGGACTGAAATTTAAATAAATGACCACTTCCCGAGCTTGCCGAAACACAGAGGGTCGATTATATAGCGTCTCTCAGTTGACCGCAAGTGACAACAAATGGCACGTTACCCACGGCAAAGGAGTATTCAAGGACACCCGTCGACCTGCAGTGTGACCTGTTTTTCATAAACATTTCTGAGGTCAGGCTGCTCCGCAGGGCCACGATCTCTAGGTCTGCCCTCTTGCCGTAGAGCGGCCAACTCTCCCATGGTTTCAATAGCCTTTCATTGGCGGGGTTTCCATCCGCTGCAGAACATGCCTGAGGGTGCGGGTGAGTTGCCAGAGCCCCGGTGCTTCTCCCAATTCCCCGGCACCCCGCACTCCCTGATTGCTGCACCTGCAGGGGCTGGTGCGTGACCTCAGGCAGGAGACTCACATTTCTGCCCCCAGGCCCCGGGGAGGCCAGGGAGGACCTCGGGAGCATCCTGCAGGGCCACGCCCACGACTGCGCAGGGCGGGCACAGTGGGGAATCACTACTCTTCAGCTTGCTATTAGCACATACACCTCTTTTTCAGGTACTTACTCACACGAACCTCATCATTCTACGTGTGTCCTTTTTTTCTCAACATATAATGGCACGCCTGCTATCACGCAGGACCCGACCCGTACAGCCGTGGCACTGGCCCGGCACCCGGGACGGAAACCAATCAAAGGTGAGACAACCACTGCAGGGGACCCGCCGGGGAGCCTGTCCACAGATGGATGAAGGCGATCTGTCCACATTGAATCACGAGGTCGGAACCTACCGCCAATCAATGGAGGTAAACCAGCACCCAAATTCGTGAGTGCTGAGAGTCTGGCTGCTCACCCCGGGTCGTGCGGGCGGCACGTCCCTGGGCAGGGCCCTAGGAGTTAAGCCCCTGCAGGAGGAGGGAAGAGGCCGCCCTCTCGGAAACACTGCAGAGAAGGGCAGACTCGGACTCTGCCCGACCTTCCGCCTCGCCTGGTCTGAAACCCCTGCGCTGGGGTCTCCGAAGGAAGGTTGCAGCGAGCTGAGCGGCTCTTCCGGGGGGCACGTAAACATTGCCTGGCCTTGCCTCTGTGTGCAGGGCAGAGCGGCAAGGCCAGCCAGCATCTACAGGAGGGACACTTCGTGACAAGACTGGACAGCAGGACCAGGCATTATATGTTGAGAAAAAAAGGACACACATAGAATGATGAGGTTCGTGTGAGTAAGTACCTGAAAAAGAGGTGTATGTGCTAATAGCAAATAGCATAAACAAGGCTCTGCCACCCACCCAGCCTTCCGCTGGGAACCTGGAGACGGACTCCAGCGTCCACACAGGAGCCTCCTTCTAGCCTCTCCCGCCCCCAAACGCCCACCTCCATCATGGGTGTCGGAGGAGTCGCTGAGCTCGGTGGGGATGCCATCGCTGTCGTTGAAGTCCAGGGACGGGGCGTTCACAGGCGCCAGGAGCTCCATCTTCTCCTCGGCAACGCTGTCCACAGCGAGCTCCTTCTCGAGGGGCCCGGTGCCCTCCAGCACCTCCTCCTCCAGGGGCAGGCCATCGAACTGAGGGGAGACAGCACGGTCACCCAACAGGGAAGTTAGGGACCTGGCCTTGGGAGGCCGCGGGAGCCCCCGCAGTCCCACTCTGGGGGCCCCGCCACGGATACGAGGGCCCCGTGCAAGGCCGGAGCCTCCTCCGGCTCAGAGAGCACAGCAAGCCGCCGGGGGCAGGGTCGGCCCCGCGAGGCCACGGCATAAGGGGTGCACGTGAAGGGCTCGGCCCGTACCGAGACGGGGGCTTCGCTGCTCCCCGTGGATGTCAGCGTGCTGTTGGTGACGGACTTCTTGGGCAGCTGCGGACTGGCATCCGGCTTGGTCTCTATGCTGCTTTTGGAAGAGCTGTCGTTCACTTCATTCTCTTCCACAGGGATCTCTTCACAGTAGCTAGAAACAGACACCGTGAGCCGACGTCAGCCTCAGTGCACAACACGGTTCCCGTCCTGCACCTCGGCTTTGCATCTGATCTTCCGCTAACTACTCACCACCCCCCACTGCTTTCCTCAACCCTCCTCTCCACCTTATACCCCCAAACCCCGTGTAAAATGTCTGGCTCCACACTCACCTTTTCTAGACACCCTCCTTAGATTTGTCGCTACTAAAACAGGACCGTTATTTATCGTAAACTATTTTCCTTCCTCTGGTGTTCCATCCCATCCTGACTTGACCATTTGAACCAAACACCTGGGCTCTGGGCCCACATTTTCTTTCCCACGCTGCGCCGAGGACAGAACCCCAGACACGAGTGGCCTGGCGGGGGACTGCCCAAATTCTGTACTGTAACTAGCCACCTTCTCGGCATTGGAACCCTCCTTGAGCTGGAGGCGGGTGCCCTTCTAGGGACACTTCAGGGATGTCACTGCAGCCTCTAGTAAGGGAGACGTCATCGTTGTCGTCAACGCATATGACTTATACTTGACACATTACCTCTTCTGGGTGCAGCAGAGCATGTCACTGCGTGCGTCTTAGAGACCAGCAAACAGAGACCCACAGCAGTTAAGCGATGCCATTATCTGGTGTCAGGAGTCCTACCTGAGCCCAGGCACGTGCAGTCTGCACTACACAGTCGATGCTCTTCCCTTGTGCTCTGTTCCTCTGTGCCTCTCACGCTACCACCAAGCCTAACAGTGACACACCCTTCTCCTTAGAGTTTCCATCTCTCAGCTTCAAGGACGCGAAACTCCCGGTGGTCCTCCTGCCTCACTGAACATTCTTTCATGATTTCTTTTGCTGCCGCCGCCTCTTGCTGAATTCTTGGTGGCGGCAGCCAGTCGCATGGCTGTCCACGAAAAGCCCGCGTGCGCCTCCCCAGCTGACTCCCAGGTGAGCTCCCCGCTCGCACACACAGACGCCTGCACGGCATCTCCCCGGAAGATCAGTCATCTCAGACTCAAGTGGCCTAAAACCAACCTCCGGTCCTTCCCCCTGATGTCCGCTGTCATAGTATCATGTATCTCATTTTGGAACAACTCCATCCTCTCAGGGGGTAAATCCAAGAAAACCTTAAATCTACCTTTGGTTCCTTTCTGATCCCTCATCAAATCCTTCAACATACTTCTAGTTCTACCTTCAAAATATATTCAGAAACTACCCATTCACTGTCATTTCTTCTTCTATTTTTAAAATCTTTTTAACAAGTTTTATTTATTATTTTTTAGAGAGAGAGGAAGGGGGAGGAATATCGATGAGAGTAAAACATCGCTCATTTGTCTCTGGCTCACCCACCGCAGGGGACCCGGCCCACAGCCCTGACCAGGGCATGTGCTCTGACCAGGGATCGAACTGGCAGGCCCTGGGCTTGCAGGCCAGCGCTCCACCCACTGAGCCTCAGCAGCTCCTTCCCCTTTCTGCTGGTACCTTCCTGGTCCAAACCACCACCACCGCTCATCTAAACCATCTAAATTATTCAACAGCCTCTCAGCCAGTCTGCCCTTGCGCCCCTTCAGTCCACGGTCAACCCAGGAGCCAGAGTGATCCCGTCAAAACGTTAAGTCAGAGAGTATCAGTTGTCTTCTCAAAGCCTTCCCACAGCTTTCCATCCCTCTGAGAAAAAGCCAGTCATCACATCAGCCCAGAGGCCTTTAGGGTCTGCCTCCTGACATCCCTGACCTCTCCCCTCCGCACCTGCCCCTTTCCCTATGGCCGCTCACCGTCCCCTCTGCCTGGGAGGCCTTCCTGGAGGCTCCCTCGTGGCTTCCTCCCTCCCCGGCTCAGGCTGTACTCAGTGTTGCTCCCCTGCGGCCTCCACCGCGGTCCCGGCCCCCGGGCAGCCTGCCCCACCCTCTCACCCCATCGTGTTGAAGTCGTCATCAGGGGGCACGTAGTCCTCGTCGTCACTGGTCAGGCCCAGCTCGTTCCCGTAGCACTGGTGGACGAAGTGCCACAGCTCCTTGGGGCACAGGGGCTGCAGGCAACAACAGAAATTCGGACCCTGCCTTCCTCGGGACCTGCCCTACACAGGGGCGCCGCGTGGAGCTGGTCTCCCGTGAGGGTCGGAACAGCCAAACACCGCCCTCCCCACTGAACCGAGCAGGACCAACGCCTCCGTGACGACCTCAGGCACCCTGCCCGCCTCTCAGCGTCTCAACAAGACACCAAGCCTCTGCCTGAGAACATGTCTTTCAGCAAAGCCAGGAGCTTGGCCTGTGCACAACTCAGGTGTCCACGTGGACCAAGCGGCTCCCGAGGACGGTAACTGTCCATGTCCGCTCCTACGCATGAGGTCCAGTGTGAAGTGGCGACAAGCGATGCTACTGTGGGACAGGGGGTCACAGAGCCTCTGACCGGGACGAGGAGCGAGCACCAGAGAACCTTGAGCCAGTGTGGCTGACGAGGCAGGAAGCTCCTCAAACTAACAGAAGCCACGCGGGCCCTGCCCTATCGCATCCCAGCACAGGGGAGGCATGACCCCAAAGGCGGCCCGTTCCGTAGCCGGGCCGCTCCTGTGGCTGGAGGGAGGCCTGCGTCCTCAGCGGGGAAGAGCCCCCGGAAGTCACGGTCACAGCCCCTCGGGCTACGGCAGTGCTTCCTTCCTTATCCTTTATCCGGTTTGCTGACTGCTCGGTGTGTCAGTTCCGGGTTTTCTTATTTCACCGGGTGCCTACATTTCCTCCTCCAGAGCACTGTCCTAGGAAAAGTTAGCTCTCATGAAGATTGCTGAAGTTTTGGGAAAGAGGCAACAGAATGTCAAAGAACTAAGATCAGGGGTGGAGACCATGGACGTGTCTTGGGTGGGGAGGAGGGGAGAAGGCAGCAGGGATAAGTATATGAAAAAGAAGGGGAAGAGCGCCAGGAAAAACAAAAGCAGTCAATAGTGCTGAAAACATTTAAGCTTGCCAATCCTAAGTCTGCGTGGCCTGCCTACCCTGCCTCACCCGCTCCTTTCTGGGAAGAGCACCCAGGAGGCTCTTGCCCAAGCTTCCCCCAGGTCCCTGTGTCTCCCCTCGGGCCCCACATGGCGTGACGGGGGCCTGCTTCCAGAGGCAAACTTGAAGAATGATTCCCACCAACAGGCTTGAGGAAGAACTTGAGCACTCTCTGAGCCCATCCTCTGAAGGCAGAGGATAGGAGGCAGGAGCTGTCAGGTCGCCGTGAGCCAGGGTTCCAGGACAACACAGGCAGGGCTCTCTCTGAGCCGGTAGTGCCGGCCCAGGATGGCGGCGCCGGGATGGCGGCGCCGTGCGAGCCCTCACAGCCCAGAGGGAGGCTCTTCTGCCCTTTCCCCTGGGCCTCCTCCTCCGTCTCTGGCCTTGTGTGCGCCGCGAACCCGGCCTGGGCCCCATCCGCCTCTCCGCTGAACCGCTTCTTCCCCGTCTCAATAATCCGCCTTCTCCGAGCAGCCTTCCCTGACTGGTCCCTCCGGCTCAGTGTGTCTGACCAGCCAGGACAGGCAGCATCAGCAGTCGCCCTGTTCATCAGGCAGAACTCTCTCTGTCGTCTTGTTTGAACTTCTGTGAACCCGCAGGGACGGCCCCATCTTGAGTGGGAAGGGCAGTCGTCATGAGCTGCAACTTCACGCCTGCCAGGGGAGGCTCACGTGCATTATCCCTTCACCTTTATTGAGGCTAATGAAGGCAGAAGATCTTGGCCCAAAGAAGTTACCAGGATTTATGCCAGGGCCACACAGATGTGCAGACTGGGGGAAAAAAAACCTTCGTAACAAATCTACTTAACTTTCTTCAGGTCGTCCTATGTCTGGGCTAGAGTCAAGGTAAATACACTCACAGATAGAGCATTGCAATCACATTATTTAACTTCTTTTCTCGTGCCTCCTTCTTGGGCCTGGAGGCGGCTCGCAGCACCTCACGGCCTCTTAGAAGGATCCTCCAAGGGCTGCAGCAGTGACACCCGCGTCACTAACACCCCTTCACCGAGTCCTTCAAACACTGGAGCGGCCACGGTGCTGCCTCAACTCTCTCTCCCCGGGTTCTCCATCTCTGAAGCTCCGGCCGCGGGGCCTTGCTGGCTGGGAGCACCTGGCCCTCCCAGGGTCCGCGGGTTCCCGGAGCCGGAAAACTCACCTGAGACCGCACCTGCTGCGCGCAGCCCGCAGCCCCAGAGCGCATGCCCCCCCCCCCCCCCCCCCGTCTCACACTCCAGGCCCATGTGCCCCTGCCCCCACGGCCCCAGGGACAGGCGCCAGGCAACCAGAGACAGTCTCCACACCCCAGAGCCCTACTCAGTTGCTCTAACTAGCCAATCCTCTATCTGCGTGGCCCGCCCGCCCTGCCTCACCCCCACCTTCCTGGGAAAACCACACTGGAGGCTCTTGCCCAAGCTTCCCCCAAGTCCCGGCGCCTCCCGAGGGGTCCAGGTGCTCCCCCACGGGCCCTGCGTGGCCTATCTGTAAGGACAGGGACTTACAGAGTCATTTCCCCATCCGTGCGTCTCACCCCACCCGGTTAAAACGAGTCCGGGCGCATGGGAAACGGTGGCCCAAGGGCCCGGAGCCGACGAGAACCCCGTTCCCACGGAGACAGGACGCAGGGCCAGCCCCGCCGGTGAGAGGCCCATGAGGACGTCCAGAGCCCCCGGGGCTGGCCAGCGCCCCAGGGAGGCGCAGCCCCTCCCGCCCCGGCTGCCCCCAGGGCCGACGCCTCCGCCTCAGGCTGAAGAAGTGGCTGGGCCGCACCCACCTTCTCGAGGAGCGCGTTCTGCCACAGCCGGAACATCATCATGTACGTCCTGTCCCGCGCCCCGAATGAAGTGAAGAAGTGCTGGGTCAGAGGGGAAAAGGCAACAAGCGGCAGTTAAGACTGACAACGTCACGAAGGAAGTCACGCTGCTCCTCCCGCTACTGGTGTCACTGGCAGGTATGACCGACTCTCAGTCCCCGGTGACCGTGGCACAGGGGCGCCCGCGGTGAGGGCCACAGAGGTGCTGCGGCCTCCGGGTCCCCACTGGGCCCATGTCCTTCCACAGCCCCTGCTGTCCTCAGGGCTCCCTCCCCGCGTTTGAGCTGCTCACGGCCACAACACGCTTCCTTCCCTACCTGCTGGGGCTGGGCGTGTGGGGCTGAGCGCCAGCCCGAGGGGACAGGAGACGGCCCTCACCCACTCGCCCCTCCTTTCAATGATGCAGCAAGTATTTTAACATGGGCATGTGCGGGCACTGTTCGCCGTGTTTGGGCTGCAACAGCAAAGCAGATGCAAGGAGATCCCGACTCTCACTCCAGTCCGATGCCCCCCCCCCATAAGTGCAATCGAAGGGCAGAGATAACAGGTCGGGGATGGGGTTTAGGGGAGGGGGGGCAAGGCGCAAGACGAGACTCCGCTGACCTTTTCCGAGTCGGTGCAAACTTGGATGGCATTGGGAATGAGGCGTGCTGTTTTTTCTTTTGTCATGGAGCAGATGTCCTTTAAGCGGACGGTCAGCTGGCATTGCCACCGGCACGGAGAGGGGATTGGAAGCAAGAAGAGGTGTTAACACAGTCAGATGAAGAGCGTTCACGCAGACCAGTCCCGACAGAGGAATCAGGTCAGTCTACGTGTCTTTGAACCTCCTTAGAGATCAGTGGTTCAGCCCCTGACCTCAGAGGGCACAGGGAGGCGGTGCCCAAGCCCTGCCTGGAGCCCACAGGCACCTTGATTCTCGTCCGGGAGCTCCTTGCTCACTTCTACACCATCTGATAAAGGTGCAGAGGTCCTGCTACTGTGTCACTTACAGCAACACAGGACAGGAGCCCCGGACGGGACCATAAAATCACCTAGTTTATCTTTTCCCACTTCACCCTTCCCTCTACTCTCCTGCCTTCTGCTGCGACTCCTGCCAAATCTCTGCTTTTGGCAAATGCTCTCCTCACTCTTTTCTACACCCAAGCGTGTGGGAGGGGAAGACATGGTAGAGGGGATCTAGCCCTCAAGACTCAGGCATGTGCTTTTATTAATTACGCAAAGGCTGGGCGCGGCAGGAAGTCACCCAAGGGAAGAGGGCGGGAGGCCACAGCCAAGGGGACAGCCCACGGAGGCAGCCCGGGTCTTTACCAGGGTTTCCCAGCGGAAGATGTTGCTGTAGAAGCAGATCCAATTTTCAGAGAGGTAGAGTCGGCCCTGAAGAAGAATGTCTCTTTGGAGTGCACATGAATAATCTGTGGGGAGACGGGGGGCAGGGCTCAGAGACAGGAGCACCTGCTGCACAATCCCCCCGACACATCGGGGGCCGCCACCCCGCCCAGCAGCACCAGGGAGCCCAGCCACCGCCTGCGTGTGTGGGAGCCGTGGCCGAGGGCGCCCCAGCACCCCCCGCCCCCCGTCAGGAAAGTGACGGGTGCGAGACACATGGCTGCCCACAGGCAGAGGAGCGGCCGAGAGAGCAGAGGGGCCGGGAGGGCCTACAAAACCGTGGACTGCCCCTCCGCAGCGCACACCCGCCCCAGCCCGTCACGGCTGAGCCGTCTGCGGAGAGAAGAGCTGAGCGATAGACTGGGGCGAAGCAACCACACCCATGGTGGTGCGCGGCGGAGCCCCAGCCACCGGCTCAGAGCTGTGGGCGGCCTCTCTCCCTGTTCCCAGGCGCACCTTCTCACTTGGGGAACCCCCAGGCAGAAGAGGCCTGAGTGGCGCCCGGAACTCCCAGTCTCCCCTCTGGGCCCCGACCCCCCCGTCGTCCGGCTCACCTACGATGAGGCGCTCCGTGTCTGGAAGCTGTTTAAAGAGCTTTCTGAAGTCTTCATTTCTCTGTTTGTATGTGGGGCTTAACACCTGCAGGACAATGGCCAAGGTTAGCAGGGTGTTCCCCGGTCCGGGGGGTGGGGCGGGGGAGGCGCAGGAGCAGCGCCTGCCTGCCTGTGGAACAAGCGGAGGAGGGGCTCTGTTACCCCCCCGACCCTGGCAGGCCAGGGGAGGCAAAGGGGGCTTGGCACCAGAGAGTCACTGTGGAGAGAATGTGACTTTGACCAAGGCTTCGTGGCCAGTGCCCGCCAATGAGAGAAAGCCAGACATACTACTTAGTGGGCCCACATGAGAGCCCAAGAAGGCAAAGGAAGGGGGTCACCCCCGGGAAGCCTCCTGGGACCCCTCCGGGTCAGCTGTTGCTGGTCTGCCATCCACCAGCAGGTGCTCTTCCTTGACAGCGACGCAGGGGCCCAAGGGCTCTGCCCGCCCCCCAGCAGGACTCAGGATATCAGGGCGCCCGGCACGTGCCTCAGAAGAAGGTATCGTGACTAACAGTGAGCACTTGCTGCGTGTGAAGTTCATGATTGGGAAAAAAAATCATAAAACATAAGACTAACACAATGTTATATGTCAATCTTATTTCAGGGAGGAATTGCACTTTTCCAAAGACTGTATTAACAAAACTCACAAAACCAGTCCGGGGATAAACACACAGGAGAGAATTTAAGAGTACATCTGGCAGTGAGAGACACCCAAACTCCTTCCCTCACCATCCTTTATGAGATTATCTAATCCAGCCCTTCCATTATCAATGGGGAAACGAAGGCCAGGGAGAAGTCTCCCCTGCCCACGGTCCCCAGCTGGTCAACGGCCGGCCTCTTGGTCCCTGGTCCTGTGCCCACCTCCTTCCACCACCTGTGCCTCCAGAGGCTCCTGTGCCAGCCTCGCTTTTGAGGTGCCTCAGCACAGACTCATACACATAAATTACCCTCGCAAATCCTCCTTGGAAATAGTGGGCTGGCCAAAAAGCCCGTTTAGTTTTCTCCATAAGATAAAAGACATGTTTTTTATTTTCACCAATAACTTTGTAGATTTGGATATTCTGAGTATATTGGCTATCTCCCACGTGGTTTAACATTGATAGTTCTCAACGAATGCCTTCGATTTTATCACTATTAACTTCAACTGGTCTACCTGACCATGGAGCATCGTGCAGTGAGAAATCTCCAGCGTGAAATGTCACAAACCACTTTTGACACGTTTGATCAGTCACAGCACCTTCTCCACACACTACACAAATCTTTTTTTTTTTGCGTTTCAGTTGTATTTTTACCTTTCTTGAAATAATAAAGGATAATATGCCAAAAATGTTGCGTGTTTTCTCCCATCTTCAACAGTAAAATGGTTGCACCAAAATTCACCAATATTGATAACTTAAAAAATGCATGCTGATATGACAGCTGTCACTATACACTCTAACAACATTGTCTGAATGAAGTTAAAGCCAACTAAGCGCTACTAGACCCATCACACAGAAAAAAACCGAATGAACATTTTGGCCACCCCAACAACATGAACCAGCTGAATACACAAAAATCCTGCTCCTTCAAAACTCACAACCTTTAAAAAAGAAAGTGCTCTGTAGAGGAAACGCACCCAAGGATGACAACAGGGAAGGAAAGCCACGCATTGCGGCAGACAGGCGCCTGCACTCTGCCCGGCAAGCTGCTGACCCGCTTCTGCCAGGAGTGCGTGCGTGCAGGCAGGCTGTCCTGGAGCTGTGGACAGACGGGTGCTGGTCATTTACACTTTCCTGCCCACTTTCCCAGGTATCCCCTGACATACAGCTGTTGCAACGATGGCGTGAGCTTTCACCTATTCGGTTTCGTTTTCCTGCAAAGTGAAATGGCCCACAAGGAAGTGGAGGCTGCGGCCTGACCGGGGCAGCCGGACAGCTCCTGGCGGGCACAGGAGCGTCCCTGGAGCTTAGTGGAGAAAAAGGAGCGGCGTGACTCCAGTGTGGAGATGTTTTCCAGGAGAGAGGGAAGAGAATGCTTTCAACTGCTAATATTCAATTTGAATATTAAACTTTTGTTTTGGCTTGCTTATAAAATGAGTTTTACGGGCCATAGTGGACGCCCTGCTGCCTACCCCGAAGTGACCCTATGTTGCAGAATCCTACACTTTGAATACCACCTGCCATATGTTTTGAACCACGTATTAGGGAGTGACTCTCTGGAAGCCAGCCAATCCTGTTATTTCTGTGAGCAGAAAAGACCCCAGGCTACAACATGAGTCTGGCCCATATTTTACTTCCACCCTGATATTGAGATGCCCACTCTGAATGGCCGTCTGGCCTCGCAGAGCGGAGCCTACACATCAAAAACCCTGGCTTGACCCCCGCTCTGCTCCTGACTCTGTCTACATGACGTCTAGAGCCACAGCTCAGCTGCCATGGCATGAGGCGCTGCCAAGCGCCTCGCCCTGTTGCAGGCCCTCCATGGGCAGCGTTTCACTAACCTCAGGGCGTCTATTATCCCATCTTCCATGTGAGGAAGTCAAGGCATCAAGAGGGGAAAGCCCGGAGAGCTGTGGTCACTAGGTAGGCAGAGTGCGGACTCTGCCTCCAGGCAGCCTGACCCATCGCTCCGCCTGGCCTCAGGGTCCCTGTGCTGAGTAAGAGCTGGGCAACAGAGATGCCCCATCAGGACGCACTCTCTTGGGAATGAGACATCCCCTCAAGTAGTAGGGAAGGGAGACCTGCTCTGGGCCTCCCACAGCCTCCCCTGCCCAGAGGCAGGTCTTTTGATGGGCGGGAGGTGGGGGGTAGATTATCTAATCCAACCCTTCTATTACCAAGGAGGGAACTAAGTCAGATCTGGAGCCCTCAGGCGGCGAGGGCGAGGTGGGGAACGACAGGGTGCAGCGGGACGGCCACCGGGCACAGAGGGCCAAGGGCGCACACTCACGGCCGGGACGTCCTCAGGTCCATGCCAGCAGCGGAGCTCCGCCTCGGCAGGGGCCCCCGCAGCCTCCCTCAGGAACCACTGCGGAGGCTGGCTGTGCTGCTCCAGCAGGAGGCTCCGGATCACCCCAGATGCCGTCCAAGGTTCCATGGCCCTCAGGCCACGCCTCTCGCTGGAGCCCGGCACCTGGAGGCGACCTCTGACTCCTCGGCAGAGGGCCTGCGTGCCCCCGGCGGGCCCCCTGTTCTCCCTAGAGCTCTGTTCCCAGAACGTAGTTTCACAGGTGGGAGAGTGGTCAACACAGTTCTTGAGACGGGCTTGCTGGCCAGTCTCCCGTGGCTGGGTTCCGCTTCGCCCCGCTCAGCTCCCAGCGACCCAGAGCGGATGGAATGGAGCCCCTCCTCCTGGTCAGTGCGGACAGCGACTCCGAGACGCCCACGGAGGCCAGAAGAGTCGTCGACCCGGCAGGTGCACAGGGCCAGCCGAGGACTCTGAACGGCCGGCCCCTGGTAGACAGGCGAATTGCACAGGAAGGATGCGACCTCACAGCCAAGTCCACAGGCCCACCCCACCGGTTACTCGCTTACAGCAGAGTGGCTCACAGCTGCTGAGACTCCAGGCAGAGCGCGAACGCCGAGCCCTCCAGCTCTGCCTGGCCTGTCCCCTACGCGGTCCATTCAATGTGCAATCTCTACTCTGGGCGGACACGGGCCGCTGTGACTCACTGCCCTCACCCTGGCGGAGCAGCCACCAGTGGCTCTGGCGGCAGAGCCCGCGCTCACCCCCACCCCTGCACACACCCCTTTCCTCCCGGACCGTATTCCTCTTGGCTGACCAGCAGACAACTCCTTTGTTAGCCTCGCTGGAGGAGGGGATAGGGGCAGGCAGGACGGGTGGGCGGGCAGGGCCAGAGCCCTACACATGCCTCACGTTACAGGATCTGCGGAGGGTGCCGGCCAACGTCCTCCAGTAACCCTGGCCTGGCCTGGCCTCCCAGCAGATGTTTCCTGCAATGGAAAGTAGCTGGCCGCTGTGCCAAGTGGGGGAGGGGGTGAGAAGGTGCCGGGGCACTGCTGCTGTGATGACATCTGAAGTCTGAGACTCAAACAGCCAGGGACTCCTTAGGGACACGCTCTCCCCTCACTGATGCATGCAGTCACCAAACACCCTGCAGCAGCAGCAACAGATTTGGCAGTTTAACTCCTCCCAAGGCAGACGTGCTGATGGAGGTGAGGTCCACCGCTCCAGGCACTGTCTCACCTGAGGCCTCTCCTTCTTTTCCGGAGACCCTGCCCTGCCTGCAGCACCAGCAGGTGGCGGATCAAGGCCAGGAGGATTCCCAGGCAGATCGCAACCTGAGGCCAAGAAGCAGTGCTAAGAACAAAGAATTTGGCCCCAGGTCCAAAGGAGACAGCCCGCTGCAGGGAAGCTGAGGTCTCCTAGAGAGGAAGGGGACCAAGGCCAACGAGGGCGAGAGGAGCTCCACACAGAGAAGTGGGGTACGGGGGTGGGGGGGCGTGGGCAGTGTGCAGCGAGGGCCGGGAAGACTTTCCCTCCCAGGAGAGGCCAGGCCTTTGAAAGCAACGGGGCCCCTCCGGCGCCCTACCCTAGCGATGCCCACCTCGCCAGGAGGGTCCCACACCTGCCTAGGACGGTGCATGGCGCCTCTGTCCAGGGCTTTCGGCGATCTGAGGAGCAGCACTCAGACCACAGTGTGCTTCAACATGACCTAGTGGATGCATCCCAAGCGTAGACTCTTGACCCCCAAGCCCCAAGATTCGGATTCAGAGGAACCTGAGGACTCCCGGGGGAACAGTGTCGGAGAAAGTGGAGGAGAAGTCTGAATCCTTCGCAGACTCCTGTACCCCTCTCTGCGTACGCCCCCCGCCCCCAGGCCGGGCTGGGCCGGGGCCTCCCTCCATCACACGATACAGGCAATCCCTCCATCTCATCACCTCCTTCTCCAGGGGGATCGACGCCTCGAACGGCTTCAAATTGTCTACAGCACCTGGCATGATGTGTTTCGGGTGTCGGGTGCTCAAAAACAATTTACTAAACGAATGTGTTCCTCACTCACCTCTAAAACCATTGCCACTGACCGGCATCTCGTCGTAGGTGCCCACGCCCCCACAGCTCCCCAGCACCATGCGCCCGGGCTCCGGGTGCCCGTCCCCGCCACACTCCCCAGCCACACACCGGGGCCGCTCTCTGCCCTGCCCTCGGTGGTCCACTCCCCAGGTGACAGGGGCCGGTGCCCTGGGCCACGAGACCTAGGCCCATGAGGGCTCGTCCTACGGCACTTCCTTGGGAACATGTGACCACTGCTGTGGCCAAACGCGGAGATGACTGTCCGGGATGCACAGGGGTGACGCAGGTTTGGGATGAGTCTCCATGTGTCACCCTTTGTCCCCTACAGCCCCTCACACAGGCGGCCGGGCCGGGCCGGGCGGCAGCGCCCAGTCTGAGCAGAGGGAATTGGCCCTGAGCTAAACATTAACTCTGTGGCAAACACTGGGCGCTGGGACCAAGTGGTACCCCCTCCCGGGGCACAGCAGCGGGAGGAAGGGTGGGGAGGAGCCCAGGAGAAAACAGGTGGATTTGGGTGGAGAACTGGCCTCACCCAGGAAGATGCTAGTTAAGAGCCTCCAAGGAAGCGCTGGCCCTCCAACCCAACCAAGTCGGGCCGGAAGGAGCCGGTTGGGAGACGGAGAGACAGGCGCGGGGGCAGTGACTGCGCCAGGTGAGGGGAGCAGGGGGCGTGGTGTGAAAGCGGAAGGTGGAGAGAGGAGCGGGGGACTGCTCTCCCCCGGAAGACCACCCTGCAGGAGCTAAGAGTGGCTGTGGGGGGCAAACAACAGAGGGGAGATGCAGGGAGGTGGAGGCAACAGAGCCAGTCTCCAGAAAAATAACCCCTTTCCTCCCGGACCGTATTGCTCTTGGCTGAGCGGGCTACCAAGGGTGTCACCGGCAGCCCCCCTTTCTGTACTCCTGCATCATGGCCCCCAAATGTGCACATTTCACTCCTGCAAAGCTCTCTGCATCTCGTTCTCGATCTCAGGGCTGCCAGACACCTTGGCCTCGGCACATGACGGGCACCTCCCCTTCCTCGCCACCGAGGGCCAGCTTCTGGTCCCAGGTCCGGGAGTCAGGGAGCCGGGCTCTAAGCCTAGGGCAGCGGCCAGGCCTGGGTGCCTCTCCTTTGATTGCAGAAGTGATCCTCCCACGGGCGGCCGCGGAGGTGACGGACCCCCGGAGAGAGAGGTGAGGCCGGGGTGGGGGGGACGCACCTATGCCTGCCTGAGGCACCAGGGAGACCACCTCTGTGGCCGCCTGCCTCCTGCTGGGCGATGTGAGCCCACTGCGTCCCGCAGGGCCACCTTCAGGGACAGTCCGCAACCATTCGGCCTCCGGCTCTGCCCTTGGACCCCTGATGAAACCAAAGCCCCCTTCTGCTCATCCTCTATCTCACATCTGTTGGGGCTGCACCTCCCAAGCTGGGGGCCGTGATGGGTAAAACTGGGATGATCCAGTGGGGGAAGCAGATGCAATCGGGCCTGGGAGGGACTTGGTCAGCTGCAGATGACACCACCTTCAAACCCCGCCTCTTGCCCTAACAGCCCCGGCTGAAGGAGGGCTGCCCTCCTGCCTCAGCGTCTTCCCATCTGGGGATCCGCTCTCTAGGCCGAGCTGCTTTGTCATTGCGGCTACTCGAGCAGATAAAAGTAAATCGCAGAGGCAGATGGAGGCGGCGGCTGGGGAGTGGGCAGGGAGGTGCCGGGCGGCTTCGTCTCCTGTCAGACCCTGTCCACTAGCGGGCCGGCAGCCCTGCCCTGGCTCGTGCTGTCCTGGAGTCTGGCCAGGGCGTTTCCATGTGTCCCTCGGGGGGGGCTGCAGAGCCTCCACCTACGCGCAGGACTTCAGTGCCAGGACGGGGCCTCGGCTGCGGGGGGAGCTGCCCCTCCTCCGCCAGCGTCGGGAGGGAGGCTGTAAAGAGCGCCGTCCGCGGTGCCGAGAGCAGGAGACAGGCCAGAGTGCAGCCATCCCGGGCGACACGGGGGCCGGTACGAGGCCCGGGCAGACGGAGGGGAAACAGACGCGGGCCAGAGCCAGAGGCACAGCCAGGGCCTCCCGAAACCATGGAGACTCCGGGACGCAGCTTTGCAGATGCAGGGCAGGGGGGCGGCGGGGGGCGGGGGACGACACACGACACTGAACTGAGATTCCCTGGCGGGACACTTGCACACGGGAGCAGGCGCACAGCCCGCGCTGCGGGGCCGGCGGCCGCCCGAGGGCCCCGGCTCAGGGAGGACAGGTGCCGCCGCGCCCCCGTGCAACGCCCCAGGTGGCTCCGAGAAAGCACCCAGGCCACGGCTCCTGCACGGAGCCAGGCAACCGTGCTGGGGGGAGAGCCACACTCAGAGTGACGCAGGCGGGGCGGTGCCTGCCGCGTGGAAGAGTCCCCGAAGGGGCAGCCCAGAGCCAGGGCCCGCTCTGGGCCCAGGGAGGAGGGCCGTGTTTTCATTGGCCGGGGGGGCGGGGGGGGGCGCGCGGGCAGGGGGCCCTGGTGTTACTTGATGCAGCCTCTCCAGGGCTCTACCCGTCGTGACAGCTGCTGAGTACTCTTGGGATATAACAACACATGACAAAAGAATGAAGAGAGAAACTGGACCCAGCTGACACCGCAGCTCAGGCCAGCTGAGGTCCCTCGTCACCTCCCGGCCTCGGCCTCTTTCTCCCCATGTCTCCCTGCCAAGTCTGTCTCCCTCTGTGTTGTCTTGGTCTGCTCCCTGTCCCAGCCCGGGCCTGGCTGTGTGCCGGGGAGCGTGGCACAACCAGCAGAGGCGGCAGCGGGCCGTGGAGGGCAGATGCAGGAGCCACACCCGCCGGGCGACCCTAAAGTGGGGAGCACGGGAGGACATTCAGAGCTGGGTCCCGGGACCCCTGGCACCGCTGAGACGGCAGAAGGGCCCCCAGCGCGGCGGCCCCCTGTCCTCGCTGCAAGTGAGGATCTGTGAGGGGGCGGAGCCAGGAATGTTTCTGTAATTCAGTCGGGGTGGGCGTGGAAAGGGGGAGGGGCAGGGGAGGCCTGGGAACCACGTGTGTTCTGGGGACGGTTTGTAAGGCGTTGAGCGGAGTTAGCCAGAACCAACGGCCATGTCTCCCGCAGCCGGGGAATCAGCCCCGAAGCAGGTCTCCAGCCCTGCCCGGGTCCTCTGCTGTCCCTCACATATCTGCCGTCAAACCCCCAGCCCTCTGATGGTGGCTGGCCCTGCAGCCAAGGGGTCGCAGGTCCTTCTAGCTGTCCCTCTGCTGCGTGCTCAGATGCCAGCTCCTACGCATGGGGCCGAGGGAGAGGAAATCTGAGGCGAAGGGACAAGGGAAAGACAGGATAGAGTAAAGCCTGCAAGAACCAGAGAGAGCAAGCCAGCCAGGAAGACTGGAAACCAGAGGGAAGAGGAAAACTAGAGGCGGGAAAAGGACAAGGGCCATCAGCGCAGAAAAGGTAGAGGAGGATTCAAGGGAAGGGAAAGGAGGCGAAGCAGACAAGCCTGAATGTAAAGCGGAGAAGAGAGGGAGAGTCTCGCCGCGAGGGTGAGGACCTGCAGGTCTCCACGTGACCGTTTCTACTGTCTAACGGCCGGCTGGCCGGCGGCCATGCATTTCCAGCCCCCTTTGGGCACTCCCTGTCCCCCCACCGCCCGCCGGCACAGAAGCGCGTGCACTGTAAGCAGAGGCCAGGGGAGGCGGCAGGGGCTCGCAGGGGGCAGGACGGGAAAGAAGGGGTGAGGCTGCCTGCTCTCCCCCACCCCGGCAGGCCGCCTCAGCCCTCGCCGCCGCGCACCCGCACGGCCGCCCCCCCACCTCTGCCCTGCCGGGCTGCGCCGGGCAGGTCAATCAGTGCATGGAGCTGCCCAGTGACCGATGCGGGCTGCGGAGGGGCAGGTGGGCAGCCCCCGGGCTCACTGACACGTGCGGGGTTCAGGGGATCGCTGAGCTGTGTGGGAACACCCCTGTCCCCCTAGCCAGGTGACTCTGACCCAAGCCCCGACCTTAAACCCAAGCATCGCCCCTGTCCTATCCCCAGAGTATCTTCAACATCCGTCACCCACGGCCACCTTGTCCCACCCCTTGTCCACGCCCAGGTCACCTGCTGGAGCAGAGCCTGGGGCCCGGGAACAGGGGGCGATGGCGGCCGCGTGATCCCTCAGGATCGGGCGTGGGGACAGCGGAGCCAGGGGACAGGCCAGGGCATGGGGCCGGGCACGGCGGCACACGGCCAGCCCCTCCAGGGTGCAGTCCCAGAGGGCGGGCCAGCGGAGACGTTGGCCCCCGCTCCTCGCAGGAAAATTCAACACCCTGAGGCCCAGCCTGTGTGATGAAGGGGCTGCGGCCCCCCATGCGGTTTCTGGGTGCAGGGCGGTGGGCTGAACCGCCCCACGGACCACCCTGGGCTTCGGCTTCATCACAGGCCTGAGCGCAGAGATATCTTGTAGAAGGGGCTTCTGGGGTTCGCCCTGACCCGGGGCGGGGGGGTGCGTGGAACTCCAATTCCATTACATGGGACAATCTCTCTGTACTACCGGGGGAAAGTATTCTGGCTGCCTCTCTCCAAAACGGTCTTGGTTAAAGACACCACGCCCTCCGTTCGGTCCAGGCCTGTCTCCGTGGCAGGATTCTGCCCGGCCTTCCCCTGCTGGCCTCTTCCAGTGAGTCTGGAGGAGCCTGGCCAGGAGTCCAGGGAAGGATGAGGTGCACCCACCCCCTGGGGCGCCCCGGATCAAGCCCGCCCTGCCAGCAGTCCTGTCCTGCGACAGAGAAGCCCCGCTGTGCCTGGCTTTCGACGGAGGGCTGGTTGGGGCCAAGGCCCACCCGTCTGGGCCCCTCAGTCTGCTGCAGACCCCAGGCAGCCACCTGCACGCTACGCATCTCCATTCCCCAACCACGTCTGCGTCCCTCCCCCCACGCGCACCCACAAGAAGAGAAACGGGGATACTTACATTGTACCAGCTCTGGCTTTTCTGAAAGAACAAAATAAAAGAGAAAGTCACGTTAGTCAGGGAAGAGATGCTGGGCACAGCCAGGCACTCCTGGCTCCGGAGGGCAGGCGACACAGACAGCAGGGCGGCAGCGAGGAGTCCAAACGCAGCTGAACGCTTGCCCCGCGGCTGCTCGGCAGAGCCCTCCTTTCTCAAGGCAGCTCCGAAGGACGGCCGGGGGCAGCCCATGCTGGCAGCTCTGCCGCGCTGGGGGGACAGGCAGTGGCAGCACCAGCCAGAGCTCAACCGGAAGGGAGTCGGAGCCCCATCACAAGGTCCTTCTGATGGGGGGCGGGATGCGTGGCAGGCATCCGAGGCCCAGTCCCCAATGGGCCCTGACCAGAAGCAAAGTGCAGACGGAGACCGCCCCGCCCCGGCCCTGCGCTGCCAGCCAGCCCCTCTGCGGGGGGCAGGGCAGGACGCCTCGGTGGAGGGGGTGCGGGAAGGGACTGTGTGGGGAGCCTCCAACTGTGCTGTCAGCCAGCAGCTGAGCCCATTCCCACTGCTGCCTACAATCGGACTGGGGGCCTCCGCAGTGACACCGGGGCAGGCGGGGGCTGGGCACCAGGAGGCAGGCTGGAGCACGTAACAGCCAACTGACCCCCAAACTGCGGCGCCATAATTCAGTAACAGCAAAGCCAGACTCTGCCCCCGCTCCAGAATGCTCTCCACCTCAGCCCTGGAACCGAAAGGTCTTAGGGGCAAGGAGGGAGGGCCAAGGCTGTGCCTTGTCTCGCTGTGACCTCGTGGGCCAGGGGCCTTCGCTCACACCCCGCCGGGAAGGCAGACAGTAGAGAGGAACACACACGTGCGCGCGCGCACACACTCACACATGCACACACTCGCCTAGGCCTCATCCTTCAAGGTGCTACTCCAACATGTTCAGTCTGGGGCTGGAGTATCTCCAGTTTTAAAAAGCCAGCCAAGGGCGTCATTCGGGTGCAGAGTCACTAGGGAGAGGGAAACGCTGCCTGCCGGTCAGCCTCTTAATGGCAGGCCGAGGTTTGTCCCCTCCCCTGTCTTAGGGCCCACTGTCTCAGGACGTCCTCTGAGCGAGGCCGGTGGGCGCAGGGTGGGTGAGCGTGTCTGTGGTACGGACGGCGTGGCCATGCGACCTCCCTTCCCAGCTCTCCCATGCCAGCCAAAGGGCTCCACGGGGACTCTCCGCCCTCACCACAAAGGGGACTGTGTCAGCCAGGGGGACAGGTGTAGTTGCTGCTGCCCCTGACTGGCTTTGTTTCACCCTCACACCTGAACTCAGTGGCCAGAATATGGCCAGAGGGGCCGACGGCAAGGCAGGCCCTCCACCGCCCGGGCCACATGCTTTCTCGTCCCCACAGCCCCCCTGGAAGTCACATACTCCCACCACCGCCTCGCTCCTCCTGCAAACCAGAGGCCTTTGCAGGTAGAGGGGCCACATCCAAACACCCGACGCCAACCAGCTCATCATGGAGGGGACTTGCTGTCACACGGGAATCCTGAAGTGGAACTGAAAATTATCCTGCGAGCGTTTCCGCATTGGGGCACCGCATTCCTGGGCTCTGACGCTGTGCCCACAGGGCACGGGGCTGTGCGGGTGGTCAGGAGAGCAGGCCTCCCAGCAGGAGAAAGGCGGGCTCCGGGGGCTGCCTGCCTCAGCGCCCCGCAGTCTGCCTGCATTTCATCAAACCGAGGCCAGGCCATCAGACACCTGCTTCCCAGCCGAGATTCCTCGCTCTCACCCGCCCCCAGCTCCGCCCCCCACTGTCCTGCCTGCCGGTGGGGCCCTAGGAGCAGAGGGGCAGCAACCCAAGGTCCTTTCTGATGACTGCTGCACAGTGCCCTCCCTCCCGCCTCAGGCAAAAAGGAGTTGGTTTTCTTTTTCTTAGAAGGGACTGCCACACACATGCATGTCCCTTCTAAGTCTGTTTATGACAAAGAGTGACTGAGCTACAACTGGAACCGTGGCCTCTTCTCTCACTAGCCATGTGACACCTGAGTGTGAAACATTTGCTCTTTTGTAAAGGGGCTTAAAAATGTGTATTTTCAAGTACAAAAATGTGAAATACGGAGGGACCCCCCCCAGAAACTGGAATTTATTTATTAAAGAATTGTGTACTTATTCTTCCATGTTTAAACTTCAGTCACCTTCAAAGTGCCCTCCATTTGATGCAATGCACCTATCAAGATGTTTTTCCACTGCTCAAAACAGTTTTCGAACGTGCTGGTTTTTGTGCCTTTTTTGTGCTTCTGCTGTTTTTTGTTTCACCTCTTCCACGTGGGCAACTGTCTTTGAGGACTTTTATCAGACAGGTAAACAAAAAAAGTAGCTCAGGGCAAGATCAGGTGAATAGGGAGGGTGGGGCACAGGGGTCTTGCCTTTTTGGTCAAAACTGCTGAACACTCAGAGCCTCGGGAGGTCTCCTCTCTCTTCCTGCGCGCGCGCTCTCTCTCCCTCTCTCTCTCTCTCTCTCTCTCTCTCTCTCTCTCTCTCTCTCTCTCTCTCTCTCTCATAGGCATGCACTTTCGCCCTCCTGCTGAAGCGCTGGCCAGCAGCAGGTTCACACGCTCTCCCCAGAGCGCACCACCTTTGGGCCCTAGAAGCCACGCAGCCGGTGGCTGTGCAGACGCCACGCGCAGGCTTCTGCAGCGGATGGCAGCCTGGAATAAGCTAAACTACCGGGGCCGGGGCTGTGACCGCTCAGCAGTCGCCTGCAGGCTCCACAGGACTGTGCTTTACACTGGAGCAGGAGCGCTGGACGCTGGCTTTTTCTTGGCCTTGCTGAGGACACGGCTGGACGTTCTCCACGGTAGGGACAGGGAGCCCACCCTTCTCCCAGGTTATGTAGCACCTGAATAAAAACCTCCTTCCTTCTGCACCAGCAGCTGCCTCAGGAGTTTGGCTTTATGGTGGCAGGCAGCCGAACCTTGCTGTTGTTTGTTCAATGACAGAGGGAGTCAGGAAAGTACCCAAAGACAGAGGTGCCAGGGATGGGGAACTGAGCAGAGAACATTTCCAGTGCCTCCAGAACAGGTTGGAAGCGCAAGCACCTAAGGGCGCACAAGGCCCCTGGAGAGAGACCCCGTTCCCTAAACATACCTCCCCAGCGGGGGCTCCGGGGACTGGAAGACGGGGGCAGGGGACAGGAGAGGGTACGAGGAGCTCTACACCAATAGGAGTTTGGAGAAAATAACTTCTCACTTTGATCAGGTTAAGTCTGTCATACTGAAAAGAAAACCCACAAAAATTAGGAATGAAAAACAGGGGAAACCTCAAGAGTAAAAAGGGCCCAGAGACCCAGAGCCACGGTGGCACAGAGCACCCAGCGGCCATCCTAGATCGGGGAGCTGGTGGGAGGCGAGGGCTGCTGGCTCCCTCTAGTGGCCCCGAGCCGGCACTACAGGGCAGAAGCCGGCTGGTGCACGGACTCCAGGGAAGGGATAAGGAACCTTGCCGGTTCTAGTCCTGCTGCTCTGGGCTGGGCTGCCCCCAAGGCCAGCCCCAGCGGTGCAGGTCCAGATTCACACGGGAGGGGCGCTATTGATCTGCTAGTCCAGCCCCCACATGCGGGCCCGTGAAGACATGGAGGCCAGAGGAAGGAAGAGGACGCTGAGTGCGAGGCTCGCTCCAGGGGCTGTGTGCGCTCCCTCCAGCCTCCCTGAAGAATAAAGAGGTCGCCTCCTCTAGGAGGTGGACCGAGACAGGGAGTGTGGTGGCCTGGCTGGGACAGCAGTGACAGGGGCTCTCCCCACGACGCCAGCACACGCTGCTCCGCTCTTCACCTCGCCTCCGCAGCTTTCCCTCACTTCCTGCTCCCGCCCTGACCCGCGTAGAACCTAATGTCTAAAGTCTGTCTCCCACACACGCATTCCCCAGACCCAGGGTGCAGGGTGCCCCTCCCCCACAAGCTAGTCTCATTTTAATGCACTCAGAGGATGGTGATGTTGGTGGCGATGGTCGTGACCGGTGAGGGAGCGGGGTGGGGAGGCGGCCGTCCAAAGCCGGGCACTCAGAGTGTGTGTGTCCATCCGGGCAGGCACTGCCTCAGCCAAGCTCCGCGGAGAGAAGGAACACCTGAGTCCCTCGGCCACCTCTCGCCTTAGCTCCTTACAGACGGCGCCCAGATTAACGCTCAATTCAGGCTCAACTCGCGGGCCCTTCTCCACACCCCGCGCTGCCTTTCCACAACCTCAGAGCCGCAGCCGGACTCTGCCCTGGCTCCCTGACACACGCCCCAGCCGCTCCGCTCGTAAACCGGCCTCCCGCCCCTGACCCTCACGGGGCACCCCCACCTGGCCTGGGCTTCTCCTTTAAGCTTCAGTCTGTGGACAACCTAGGAGGATTCTTATCGGCCTTCTCAGGCTGCGTTCTGCCTGAGGGTGCGCAATCCAGTTTCACACTCCTTTTCCAAGACCTACGCGGGGGGTTTTAACAAATCCTTGTTACTGAAAACGCCCCTCAGTCGGCCACGGGACTACAAGAGGTGCTCCGAGAGTGGTGGTGACTAATGGCCATAAATGAGTGCCTCTCTGCTCACGGAGCGCCTTGCTGGGCAGAGGGGACGGAAGCTCAGAGCCTCGCGTTGGATGGCAAAGTGCACAAAGGCTGGACAGCCGCAGAGAGATGTAAGAACCTGATGCTCCTTCCGGCAACATCTGCTCTCCCCCCAGCCGGGGGTGCGAGGGGCTCGAGAAGGGAGACAGAGGCCATCTCAAAGCCCTGCCGCCACACACGCCTGCACCCGCGTGCCACCCGAACACACCGAGCTTGCCTCCTGGCGCCCCCACCCCAGCTGGAGTTCCTCCCCACCCACGGCCAGCACCAGTCACTGACCGTCCTCGGAACCCAGATGTGCTTTTAGCCTGAAGGTCACAGACGGTAGGATTAGACCTGTCACCTCTTGTTCCTTCCTCAGGAAAGACAACAGCTGTTCGCCCTCCTCCTCCCTCACTTACAGAGGCCTGAGACTGTTACTAAGCTATCCCTCAGCTTTCTCTTCTTGAGGCATAGCCACCCCTTTCCCCACGGGTATTACACCCTGACCCCGATACGCTAAGATGCCTGCTGCTCACCCTCCGCCCCCTCCCAGCTCTCCTCAGGCCTTGGGGATCCTGAGTCCTGGGCAGACTGGGGCACTGCCTGCTGGACCTGGCCGGACCTGGCCACGGCTCTGCAGAGCCTGACTGGGCTGCTACCAATGCCCACCGACCCCCAGGTGCGGTCCACGCCCCGCTGCGGGGAGATGCCCTCATGAGCTCTCTCCAACATCCTAGAAGCGCGAGGGGCCTCGGGCTAGCGATGGGTGGGAGGGGTACGGGTACTCAGGCTGGGTGGCTCTTGGGGGACAGGCAGAAGGAAGGTGGTGCCAGGTAAGGCCCCCAAGGTCGTTCTAGAGCACCACGGAACTCGCCTACAGGAATTCATGGCACTCCAGGGAATCAGGAATCACTCACCAAAGTAGATCTAAGGGGGTATCAGTACTGAGGCCCCCTGGATAGAGCCTCCCTCCCCCAAAGGCATGAAACCAAGCCCTGGCCAGACTCTGCTTCTAGCTGGCACCATGTAAGGAGGGAACAGATCCCCAGCCCCAGGCAGTGTTTGGGGAGCAGGCAGACATTGGGGGAGGGGGCGGGCAGGTCTGTTCTCCGACTCCAGGTGCAGTGGAAACGGTCGTCCCTCGGTAACTTCAAGCCAGCCCGCCAAGGGCAGTGGGGCCGGCCCTCCGGGAAAGGGGCCAAGCAAGACATGGGCCAGAGTGGGCGGGGGCAGAGGGAAGGGTGCAGCGCACTACAGACAATTCAACATCGGGGGAGACCACAGACAGAGACGAGAGATGGCTTACTTTTGAGAGGCGCTTGTGAGACTAAGACCATGCATGCAAAGGAGGTATTTGGGAAACGGTGGGGAAGAAGAGGAAGAACAAGAAATCAAAAGCCAAGTTCAGGTGGAGGCCCGCCCCGTGCCTCCCGGCCCGCCCGCGCCACCCCGGGGCCTGAGGTCCAGCGGTGAAGGAGCATCTGGACACACACTGTCCCGCTTCCCCCGGACCGAGGGAGAAGACACTCTGGGGCACTGTAGGTGGCCCAGGCCCGGGGCTACTTCATGCCTATGCTCAGGCCAGGGCAGTGGTGCTGACCACGTGGGAGGGGCGGAGAGCCTTGTCGCCATCCCCTGGGACAGGTGCGCACAGGTGGAGGCGGGGACAGGAAGGACGGGGGAAACAGCGTTCCCCCACGCTCCCTGACGACCCCGGTACTACAGTCATCCCAGCGAAGCCCCCTTCTGCCTCAACGGTGGGGCAGACCAAAGGGTTAAGCAGATAACCCCTCCTGATCCCCGGAGCTTCCCTCCTCCCGACATCAAGGCACCCGAGGCTCCTTTCACGGCGCCCGGCCCCTCTCTGGGCGCTTAGCCAGGAAGATGACATGTACCTGGGGCCCGCGGCCCACTCAGCCCCGCTTCACGGAGTGAAGATTGTATCTCTGGGGCACTAGGGTCCCTCCGGGATGGGCAGTCTCCCTGACGGTCCCCAACACCGCCTGCCCGGCCTCGGCCCAGACGCCGCCCCCGCAGGCTCACCTTGGAGTTCTTGCCCGCGCTGCGGCCGGACTGCGAGGAGCAGCTGCGCTGCACGCCCTGCTCGGGCGTGGACGGGGACTTGTCCGAGGAGTGGTCCGAGCCCTTTTCCACCATGGCGTCGCCGTCGGCGCTCTGCGGGGTGGGCGAGCGGGACCGCTTCCGCAGGATCGGGGAGCAGGCCGGCGTGCTGCGGTTGGAGTTACTGGCAGTGCTGTAGGGGCACATGGAACAGGGGGGAGGGGGAGGCGGAGAGACAGGCCGTGAGTGACCGAAGGCCGGACGGCCCAGAGGGCCGGCTCGGGAGAACGAGGGGGACGAGGGCCCAGCTACGCTCACTGCACCGTAGTACTGCTGCTGGCCAGGAGAGGGCGGTGGTGCCAACGTGAGGTGGAAGCCGGCCTGGGAAGGGGTAAGGACGGCAATTGGGCACTTAGATACACGTCCGTCCGTCCATCCATCTCCGTCCATCCGTCCTAATTATGTTAGAGGCCCAGTTATATGTCCAGAACTGTCCAGGAAAAAATAGAATTTAAGTGCCAGAGGACTCATTAGAGATCGTCCAATACTATCAGCTCATTTTACACTTGTAGCAAATTCAGTGTTTACATTTTGTTTCGGAGGTTTTGTCCATATAAGCAACAACAACCCTTCTTTTCAAAGCATTCACATACATATTATTTCACTAGGTTCTTAAATCAAACACCATAATCCCTATTCTAAAAATGAAGACCAGTGCATGGCGAAGAGGAGCTACGTGCCCTCTGATCACAGAGAGTTTACGAACAAACGGAGGTCTGACTGGCATCTCGCCTGTGCCGTACTCTCTCCTCGCAAACCACGTTGGTTCCTGCTCCCCTGCCCAGGCTACAGAGGGGCACAGCAGCGGCTCCCGCGTCCCATGCCGCCCGCCTCCCGAATGCCTGCCCAGCAGGTGCCCGGTACACCCCACAGCACCGAGTTCCCTTCCAGCGGCACTTACAGGGGGTACAAGTATTCACTATCACATACTAGCCTGTGTTCTTAATGGACTGGGTGGACAAGAGATAAAGAAAGAGGAGGCAAAATTAAATGCAGTGGAGGTCTGGTAGGTGTTTGCTTTGCTCTGAGAGAACGAAAGAAAGATGGAAAAAAGAAAAGGTGAAGCAGGAAAAGAAGACGGCAGAAATGGAAAAGGACAGCAAGTCCTGTGAGGCCAGAAAGGCAAAGGAGCACAAGGCGAGGGGGACGGAAAGCCAGGGCCCCCTCCCCACTCAGCGGCTGGAGAGCCCGACCGGCGCTGGAAACAGCGGAGCCCGGGCGGCCGGGCCGAGGACCCGCAGCGCCCCGACCTCCCCTGAGCCAGGGGAGGGTGTGTTGGCGGGGGGGGGGGGGAACGGGGCGGGGGGAAGAGGGAGAGCCCTGTCATTTGCATGAAGATCCAGCTGCAACCTCAGATGCCCCACTGGACCCATTTGCAATGAAAATCATGCCCCTTGCAGCAGAAACTTCCACCTGGGGATCCTTCACAGAGACAACGGGAGGGAAGCCCCAAAGCCCCAACCAGCAGGTGCAGGGGGGCAGGTGGGGGGAGAGCACAGTGCTCCAACCTCGAGAAGAAAACGGGTGGAGGGCGAGGAGGAGACCAGAGAAAGGGAAGGCAAATGTCGCCACAGGATGTGTGAAGACACAGAGGGCCCAACACGTCGCTCTACCCCAAAACAGAATTTACACTTCGAAACGCACTTATGAGACTGACATGAACTGTGATTTAGAAAACGAGGCTCTTAGGCTCTCCCGCTACCCACACCCCTATCCTCTGATTCTGAACTCGGTCATTACTATGAACCCTAGGAAAGAAAATGACGTTCCTTTTCCTCAGCTGGCAAAGCTGGGCTTTCGGACGGTGGCACGTAGACTTCCGCCCACGCCCTCGCGTGGGAGCTCCTGCAGAGCAGACGCAGGTGCTCACCTTTCCGGGCAGTCTCCTTTCTCTGGGGCCAACTGCAACCCACAGCCAAGTTTTAATCTGTCTTCTAGGATTACTTTGCTGGAAGAAAAGCCAGGAACTCCACCCCGACCTCTACTGGTTTTTTGAGAGCAGCACAGGAGGTGGCCGACACCCAGCACTTGCCTGTCTCAGACACGGTGAACCCACACCTTGGCGTCTGTCTTTCCATTAGATACGGGACATCTTCCCACAAGGCAAATCAGACTTAGGAGTGGAGAGGAGATCCCTCTATCCTTCCTCAACTCTGAATCCCTACTGATAGCAGGCTGAGGAGGAGGAACCCAAGCAAGGGGTGGGCAAAACATTCTTACCTAGAGGAAGCTCGGTCCAACTATCCAAAACCTGAGTAAATGCCAGGCACTTGATCAAAATGCCCATCACCTCTTCATCCTGTAGTGGCTCCATGCCAGCGGACCCTACATGCACCACCCCAGACAACCTACAAGACTGCTTTCGACACATCAGTCAATAAACAACTTAGATGTTGGGAACTGTCCCGTCTGGTTTCAGGGACTGTAGCCTTGCTGATAGGCAAGAGGGCCCCAAGGCTGGAGCTAATCAAGGAGGCCTTGGGAAAACAGGCCACTGAGGAGACAAAACCTGTCCCCCTGGGAAGGGCACAGCCCTTGCCTCCCTCATCTCACCCTGCTTGGTCCTGTGATGGTTGGTAGTCAATGATGGGTAAGATCTCGCAAGAGGGACAACCTAACCAGACACGGCCGGGACGGGCAGCAGGTCAAGGACTTGGGGGACATGGAGAAAGGGCAAAAAGGCCCGCACCCCTTGGCTCAGCTTGGACACAGCCGGAGTCCTCATTCTACCTGAAAGAAGCCCCTTATCTCTTGGTGGCTCTGTCCTGCCCACCTGGCTCAGGCTTGAAACAGGACTAAAGGCAGGTCAGTCCTAAACTGGATTGGGAGGGTCCCGGTAACAAATCTGGCCCAGAACTAAGTTCCTCGAAGCACGCTCTGTTCTTCCCTCAAAAGCTATGATAACTGGCTCATACTGGGAAGGAGATTTCCATTATTCGCAGACCCTGACCTGAGGCATATCTCTTGTGCTCCTCCAATTGTTATCTCTGATCTCTGTCTGTTTTCTGTAAACATAGCCTTTTGACATGGATTGATGAGCTTTGCATCCATACCCATGTGCAAACGGTTCTCAATAAAAGCCATCGAGCACAGGGGCTCAGGGCCTTTTCCCCTAGAGGGAAGAGCCCTGTCCCCTCTCCTGGAAAACAGAGAAGTAGTTGCGACAACTCGTGTTTATTCCCCCATCCGTGACAACCCCAGCGCGGGCTCTGCGGGATGCAGAGCCCCGCTTCCTCCTCGGCTGGCTCCGGACAATACTACTCAGGCCCAGAGGCCCCTGCCGTCCCGCATCCCTGCGACACTTAGAGTGTCATTTGTCACTCTGACCCCTGTGCTTGTAAGACTGTTAATCACCCATGTTGTTCTTGAAAATCTCCCCTCCCCGTGACATGACACACACCTGTCCTATTCTCCCTCCTGTCTCGGCCACGCCCTCCTCTCTTGCTGCTCCAAATGAAATGCAGTCCTTCTGCAAAGGTGAGTCCTTCTCCGCCCTGGCCACATCCCACTTTCTGTGACTTCAACTAGGCCGGCTCCCACCCTGCTCACACTGATTAGCGTCAGAGCAACAGTGCGGCCGCGAGGACTCTCCCCCAAGCAGATGTCTGGGGAGCACCTGAGCTGAAAACCCTCTCTCCTCCCTGGCTTATCCCACTTCCCATTCTCCATAGTGTTACCACTTCCTGGTCTCTCAGGCTGCAAACCTACCTCCTCAGTCTCACCCCAGAGAACGTGAGTCACTGAGTCCCGCCAAATCTATTCTGGTAAAGCGCCTTGGCCCACCCTTTCCTTCCTCCTCAGGGCAGTAATTCAGGTTCTTGGCGCCACTTGGCTCGTCCAATACCCTTCTATTAGGGGCGTCCAATCTTTTGGCATCTCTGGGCCACACATTAAATACAGAAACACTAATGAAAACTGATGAGCAAAAAAAAAGGTTTTAAGTAGATTGGCGATTTTGTGTTGGGCTGCATTCATTCATAGCCATCCCGGGACATGTGTGCCCCCTGGGCCGTGGGTGGGACACTCTAAGGTGTCTCCTCTGTCTCCTTTTTCTCTTCCATATTCATTCATGATTTTGTCATTAAATATAATTATAAGCCGATATTATCTTTTGCCACCTCCTGGGATTCATATTAAAGTCTAAAACCCTCAGAATGGAATTCAAAGTTCTCTACTGAAAATAATTTGACACTTACCTATATTTCAATACTTTATCTCTCCTTATACTTCCTTAAAGAGTTCCTGTATTTTAGTCCTGCGATCTTCCCCTGGTTTTCTTAATACGCGTTTTCATTCTGTTGCCTCCTGAGAGCCATGCCATTTGCTCACTGCTTGTACGTGGGGAGTCCTTGCCCTCCGTCCCTGCCTGCTGGGTGGAGTCTTGTCCATCCTCTAAGACCCATCTCAAACCCCACCTCCTCCAAACAAGTTTCCTGAGTCCCCACCACTGAACTGATTACAGCCCGGAACACACTCTGCCTGGAGGCACAGACCTCTGCCCTTCCCGTGTTGCCCAACAGGATGCCTGGGAGCTGTGCGTGTGTAGTAAATGGCGACTGGAATCTCATTGTTGTGAAGGTCTCGCGACCCACCCCCAGGACCGTGATGCCCCCCAAATCTGCACCTCCAACCTGTTAATAAATTAACACAGCGTTTATGAACGGTTAGTACTTCCTGGCAGGGCGCACAGCACTTACCACATACTATCTAATCTTCCCAACCAACTTAGGAAGCATCAATGGATATTATTGTTAGCCTTATTTTTCAGTTGATAAATTGAATTTTTGACTGAGTCAGTGGTCCCCAACCTTTCTGATACCAGGGACAGCTTTCATGGAAGACAATTTTTCCATGGACCATGGATGGGGGTGGGTGGCAGTGGGGGACAGGAAGCAGAATTCAGGCGGTAATGCAAGTGACGCTCTGCTTCTGGCCCACTGCTCACCCCCTGCTGTGTGGCTCAGTCCCTGACAGGCTACGGACAAGTGCCAGGCTGCAGCCTGGCGGTGGGGGACCCCTGGATGAAGCGATTCACCCAAAGTCGCACAGATGGGTAAGTGGCAGGACAGGATTGGAAACATCTGCCTATCTGATGACAGAGTTTGTTCTCAGAGTCAAGCATTCAAAAATATC